ACACCTTTGGCAGAGGAAGACTCAGTTGATTTGTAAACCTTTATTTAGAAATATCTTCAATATAGTCATTATATTTATTTATATATACATACACATTACAACAAATGTGTTTTCTAAAGAGCACATCACCTTGTGGGCTTTACAAAGGTAAGAAGAATAAAAAGAACCCAATTCCGATTACTTAACTTCAATCTGCTGTGAAATGCAGAAAACCAAAGGTGACGAAAATGAATCCATCACACGGCACAACACTGACCAGAAGTGTTGCTTCCTCAGAACCTAAATGCTTGAAGATGTCATCTACACAAAGACACAGAGCAGGCTAATGGGGCAGCAGGAAGGGAAAGTAGAGATTTAATATCCAAATCACAATTTAAAGTACACATCAACAGATGTGATGTGCTGAGAGACTACAAACAGACTGTGGCTGAAAAGGAATACGGAATGTACAATATCTCATATGGATTAAATAGCAGAAGAGTGTGTGTTGGTGCACAAACAAGCACATGGGCATGTGGGCAGGTTTGTAAGACAGGAGAGCCATGACGAAATCCCACCTGTGCTGTTGTCCAGAGTCCTGCATCTGTCCTCCAGTCTCTACTGCCCTCAGCTCCCCAGCGACAGATGCAACCTTGTTCGCTTTATTTCCATTGGTTATGAGATGTGTCTGTCCCCATTTACATTCGCAAACAGGGAGACAATGGAAATGGGGGGGGGGGTTGTAGCAAAACTGTTTATTTTTATTTAATAAAATCTCTGTCTGGTCTGGAGTGGCTGAGAAGCGCCACAAACATGCAGGTGCTCTCAAGAGTGGGAAAGAGGAACCGAGGGACCAGTCAGGGGACCAGGACTGCAGGGGGCCGGTCAGAGGAGGCTTCTGCTGCCACTCATAGGCAAGAATTAGAAAAGGATGGCAATCCAGCTTGCAAGGATGGCCAGGCTGCATGGTGGGGCTGGGAGGACAGAGCAAGAAGCAACTTAATGGCACTTGGGTAGCCAAACAATTGTTTGAGTGGTAAATGCCACCAAAAAACCACATGCCCTGGAAACAGTGCAAGGGCACGTGAACCCAGCCTCTGTGTGTACGTAGATTTTTAATGTTCTTCACCTCCCCACATCCCAGGCTGCACCAGCCATCAAGAGATGAATGCAAGACCACCTTACATCAGCCCATAAATCCTCCTTTCATCCCATACATTGAGCCAGCACTGCACAGACTAGCATGCTTAACCAGATGAAGCGAGGCATCTAGATGGGGGATTGCATGGCAGATTTGCACTTCCTTGTGGTCCACCTAACCCAGGGGTGAAATGCAGCAAGCCTTCCCCGACCCAGCATCCTCCAGATGTGTCGGACGATAACCACCATCACTACCAGGCTGGCTGCAAATGGTCGAAGTTGCTGACCATGCTGGCTGAGAATGATGGGATTTGCAGTCCACATTTCTGGACTGCAATGGGTTGCGGAAGGCTAACCTACACCCAAATCCTCTCATATCTGCAAAGGAGAAAAGGCAAAGCATGGGCTTCACATTCAGATTTGTGTGCCCAATGAATGAAAAGGTGCTTGCAGAGTTCCTTTCACAAGATGGTATGAAGGCACAAAGCACAGCCTCCTCCTTGGTGCCACTGGGCAGGACGCTGGGACAGACTTCCAGGACCCCTTCTCAGGGTGATGCACAAAAGAGCCACCAGACGCAGCAGGACTAGTTTGCCACAGTTCAACAGGAAGAAATAGTTGTTCCTTTCTAAAGAGCCCTCCTTCTCTCTAAGATTATTATGCTCAAATCCCAAGGTGGTGTTAGGGAGAAGTTCTGAAGGCTAGAGGGCCCCACATCTTTCATTTGGGGCCTTGAATTTCTGGGAGTCCGTCTGTCCCACCGCCCTGCCAACCATGGGCAGTTACTGAACTAAAGCCACAGAAACCCTGATGATCTCAGCTTCATCTGTCCTCCCACCCCCACCCCCAGATTAGCTGACTTTTCCCCAGACTGCCTTCCCTTGCTCATGCCTCCCACATGAATGCTTCTGCCTGACCTTTTTCTGAAATCACATGGCCTCCTTCCCTGTTCAGTGCATCCCCTTTTTAGGTCATCCGGAGCCCTAATCTTTTTGGTAGCTGTGTGTATAAAATACATCCCAGCACATCCCAGTAGTTAATGTTGCCTTGCTCAGAAAAGAGAATGGTGTATCTCTGAAGAGTTCCTCTTGCTTCCCTACCCTAGTTAGATTTTCACGGGACAATTAGAGTTGCAGTCCTAGGCATACAGAGGAGAGAGGGGCAGATTCTCTATGGCCCGCCAAATGCTTTGGCTGGCCGTTCCCACCAGGCCTAGTCAGCACAGCTGTGTGCTGCGGGCTAGTGTGAGTTGTGGGCCAAAACATCTGGTAGGACACAATTTGCCCTCCGCTGCCTCAGGAGCACTCCCCACTGTACCTACTGGAACGTTATTCTGAACCAGTGTACTTGACATGCTTCTTTTAAAATGGCTTTGTCAGCTTTGGAAAACCTCATATTTGGGTGGCCATGATTAAGGCAGTCATTCAAAAAATGCCTTGTTTCTACATTTCTGAGTCATGCTTAGCAAGGAAACTGGCTAATATGCTTTAGAAGAGTGGTTGAAGTGCCCTTCTGTGAGTAAATAAAGGACAGATTGGCATGAGTGGCCTGTAGTGCATGTAGGAAGAGAACTGGAAGTTGGCGATTATTCCCAGTTGACTGGGCTGGGATGTAAATGGAAACTTAAGAAAGCATAAACTGGAAAAAAAATCCCATACTTTGTGGTATCACTAGGCTGCTAATGAATTAAAGGAAAAGTAAGACTAAGACACAAATAATTGACTTCCCAGTACCAAAGTAAATCACATGAGTGAATTCATCTTGGTGGATGGTATAGATGAAATAGCTGGTGTGAATGCAGGGCAATTCAGATTTAGCTCTCAGATAAAATCTGCATCTAATTTCCACATCGGGACACTTTGGTCAGTGCCAGGGTGTGTTCTAGATGGGGTTTGAGTCATGCTATCACCCTGTGGCTGTTGGGAGGGTCCAAGCAACATTTGCAACTGTTAACTTTCTCTTTTCTCCCACCACTTCTTCCAGCTCCTCTCCCCACATGCACACACATACACACACACGCACGCACAAGACATGGGCAGATATCAGGCTTGGTTTTTGACTAGAACACCCAGTCCACCAACCAGAGACAGCTACATAACAGGGATTGGGGAGAGCCAGTGACATTTGGTCGCCTGTCAGCCATAGAGTGAAATGACCAGAATGGAAAAGCACAACTCTGTGTCTGTTAGCACAGATCAGAGATTCCAGAGGCCTAATTTACTTTATGGGGTGCAGGAAGCCATTTTGCTGTTGCCCTGTTAAACCACTGCTAGTTTTAAAAAGAAAGAAACATTACTGACCTACTGCAAATCAAATGATGATGTGCTTGTAGATCCTGATCGACTTTCTTTTGATCTCAGTTCTAGACATGTTATTATAATCATAATCATTAAGACTAAGGTAAAGTGTCAATCACTAAATGGAAAAGAGCAGCTGAAGCACCCATTTCCTCTGCAACAGGGATAAGGATTGGGTGGGCTTCCAGATCTGGTTGGATTGGATTGTACACCCCATCATCCCCAGCCAGCATAGCCTACTGAGATGATGGGAGCTGTAGTTCAATAACATCTGGAAACCCACACCTTACCCATCCCTGATCTACCTGGTGTGTGTTTGTTATAACATTCTCAGAGAGCCATTGGCTACGTTTGGAGTTCTTAGCTGGTTCTGATACCCAAAAAAGAGCAATAGCATTATTGCAGTCATTTTGCATAAACGCATTTCTCCTTTGTTGGTATATATTGCTGGCAGAAGCCCATCTTCATTTAGAAATGGGCCATCCTACACCGCAGCTTTCATTGGCTGAGGCATTCCATTTCCCATTTCCCCATCTAGAAGTGCCTGTAAGGACAGGAAAACAAAGAAAGTCCAGCTAGGGCTGGGCAAGACATGGACGAATGCAGGTGGTCGCACAGGACCTCAACAACAGGGTCGCCTTAACAGCATTATGGGCCCCGGGAAAAGCAGTGTACTGGGGCCCCTACGACAACGACAACTACTGTTAATTTTGGAAGTTTTCCAATTCTCCAAGGGTTAACATGCACAGATTAGAATGGGGCCCACAGGCTGGTGCCCGTCAGGCCCATGCGTTAAGACGGCCCTGCTCAACAAGTGTATTCAAGCTTTCTGCTTAAAAATCAGAACTGGATGCTTTACTTTTAATTCCCATCTGGCTTTCACATTCCATTTCTAGTCTATGGGTTTCTTTTTGTCATTGCTTCCTGTTAGTACAAAATGTTTGAAGGAAAACACTTAAAAGCAATAGAAAACAAACCATTAATCTCTCCAACAAATGTTGGGTTTGTAGTTTAAAAGACTGCTGGTTGGCAGGGGCAATCTCATCCACAGTCGCTCTCTCTCACACACACACATGCACACAATCATTTATTTCTTTTTCAAATCTTGCAAAAGGAAGTAGGGTAACTTAAACCAGCCCCCCCACACACACATCAGAAATACGTCAGCACTATTATTATCACTAATATGGATATGCTCTTGTACAACCTCCAGTCCTTCCTTCCACATTGCTCCCCAACATGTACACAGGAGCAAATCCAGACAGGTCAAAGTGCATTATTGAAACACTGCGTACTGTATATACCATTTTTCTGGATAAATACACACGTTCGCTTGCACACAAATACACACACACACACACAATTTCCCAGCATACTTGTTTCAGGAAAAAAAGTAGGGGGATCCCAAGATTTATGGTTTCAAGAAAACACTGTTGCTCACCCATGCCAGAAGAAAATATCACTCTGATGCGGTGTCAGAAACTAAGAGAAACCCCCACTTGAGTACCTTCTAGTTCAGTAGATACTGCATGTTGGAATTAAAAAAAGAAATTCCACATCATAAATACAAGACCTCAAGCAATCCAAAGTTGGGCTAGGTTTATATTAGATGAAGATGATGAAGACGAAGGAGATGGGGAAGAGGAGTGAGGGAAGGAGAAACAAGCAAACCTGCAACATCAAGTCAACTATTCCTTCGCAAGGGGTATTTTCTTTCTTCCTTATTAGAAAGGCAATGAGAGAAGGCAGACAAGTTGCGTACATTTCCTCAAAGTGAACTGGAGAAAAAAACCACTGCACAGCATGAAGGATTTTTAAAGGCTTCCATTGCCACGCATGTAAACACTTTATGGAAGATACTTGGGTCTGAATAGCTGAAAGGGAGGGGCACTTTAGCAATCTGCAGAAGGACTGAGTAGCAGTCCGATCCTTTGTAAACCTTGTAAGAGCTGCCTGTACACTGCACCCCTTCAGTGCTAAAGGGCACACGGACAGCAAGGCAACACTTCACGAGTGACCTAAGCAACAAAGATGCACTTGATTAAATCCAGTTAGTCTTTCTCATCCAGCTGTTCATTCCTCTCCATTTTCAGTTTCTTCAAGTTGCAATTTTGTGAAATATGCCTTCCTTCCTTCTTTCCTTCCTTCCTTCCTTTTTTGATAAGGAGGAGAAAGGGGAGGACATGCATAAGCTCCAAATGCCAGGTATTCACAGGCTTGCCTGCACCTCTTTGTAGGTTCATCATCGCTGTGCATTGTTTTCAATGGGAAGAACAGAATGGTGGAGAGCTCTTGTATGCTTAGCATCTAATGTCTCCGGCTCTTCTGTGAAACTGTCTGGGCTTCCTGCTCCATCTAATGAGCTTCCACAGCTTGAGTTTGGGGACAACATGTCCTGCAGAAGGTCTTCTTGCACTAGGCCAGTGTCTTTGCTGACTTTACCCCTTTGGTTCCCTTCTTCCTCCTGGTCACTCAGCAGTTTGGCCAAGAAATTGATGTATTTCATAGCGAGACGTAAGATTTCGTTCTTGCTGAGCTTTTTGTCAGGTGGGTGAGTCGGAATGAGCTTGCGGAGCTCAGCGAAAGCCCCATTGACATTCTGCTGCCTCCACCTCTCACGGCTGTTTGTAAATATTCGGCGGACCACCTTTGTATGGGGACCTAAAAATGAGAATAGATGCTCAGGAAATCATCCACATGCATACAGAGACACTGAGTCAAATGGCTCATTTAAGAAACTCAAATGTGGCATACACACAGTAGCTATCTGAGCAGCACATTCAGAGATGGGGCACATACAGTAGTGCAGTAAGGTCATTGTACACACTGGATTTTAGGCACCGTTACTGTGTGGGAACCACAACACCACCATAGTTGGCCAAGCCCGTTTTCGTTTTTTAAACGATGTCCTGAGCATGTGCAGTTTGCGTTTCCTATTCAGGTAAACCATAGAACCATCCTGACCACAGGGATAAAATGGCGTCTGCGCCTGCCATCTCATGGCTCGCCATCCTCTGATCCGGCTCTCACACTCACTGCTGCCAGCCAGGTCGCAACCAGGCACCAGGATGCTAATTCAAGCCCCTGCTGCAGATTCCAGTTACATGTGAGGCTAGCAAGGAGGCGTTGCTGAGGAGACCGAAAGGATGCTTGGAACCCATGGACTGTCTTACGGTTGTCAGTGGCTCTCCACCCTCCCCAACAACTCATCTTTGATGGGTTCATACATAATGTGCACCCACAGCACAACCCTTAATGTTCTAAATGACCACCATCAGAACAAAAATCCCCACTAGGAAATTCAATCAGTTTGAATTTTGGGGACTTTGGCCGTAAGACCCAGGCTTAGATACACACATACATCTTTCAGCACCAGAATGGGGTAGAAAAATTAGACTGATGCCCAGTTTTTTTTCCCCATCATATGTGGGAAAGTCTACAATCAGACCTAGGCTGCAGGGACTTTGCACATTCTATCCCATCCTTCTGGAAGAACAGCAAAATCTCCCACAATGCAATGTGGCTGGCTAGTAATCAGAGCATCTGCAACCAAAAGGAATATCTGTCTGGTACTTGGATGAGAGAAATGTGTAGCAACCAGGAAATCCAACTTCTCTATCATTATGTTGTGGAAAGGAAAGGAAAGAAGGAAAGGAAAGGAAAGGAAAGGAAAGGAAAGGAAAGGAAAGGAAAGGTTTTGCCCAAACACCCTTTTCCTATAATTCATGTCTACGTATACACACATATACACACAAAACAGTTCACACACTGCACTTATACTTTCCTTGTTTCTCTTCAAAACAGTACAAAATGTGTATCTTTTGGGAGGTGTGCTGTCTAGCAGAAAAGGATCTCACTGTCCATGCTTCCCCTCTAGAAAACTTCCTCCCAGGCCATGTAAGAGCTGTGATGTCATTCTTTAAATTGCTGGGCTGGGTCCAAAGCTGCCAGGTGTTCAGGAACACCCTCCTACTCATGCAAATCTCCCCTCCAATTCCTCCGACTCCCCCCTGCCAGCTCACCCATTTTCATGCCCGTGCAATATGGGAATAACATTCCTGCCCTACTTTTAAGGAGCTGACAGACACTTTCCTGAGCTTTACGAGAAATGCTTAGAGCAGGGGTCCTCCAACTTTTTCAGCAGGGGGCCAGTTGAAAGGGGCCGGTGCCAGCCACGGGCGGAAAGGTGGTGGTGGTGGTGCATGTGGGCTGGTGCGTGTGGGCGCTGAGGTGGGGATGAGGCGAGGCACGATCGATCCGATCCGCAGGCGCACGTGGGGAGGGGAGGGCAGGCAGGCGCATGAGGCAGCGGCTTGCTCACCTGGAGTTCATTTTCTCTGAGGAGCAAACCACTGCCTCCCCACACATGGGGCGAGGTGGGAGGCGGCGGGCGCATGCGTGGGCGTGGGCACAGCAGGTCCAAATGGGCATGGCAGGCCAGATCTGGCCCCCAGGTCTTAGTTTGAGGACCCATGGCTTAGAGCATTTAGGGAAAGCAGAACAGGAATATGAAGTATGCCCATTACATATGTACCTTTAAGGTCTTTCCTTGTGTTAAATTAAAACTCTGAAAATAAAAATGTATGGCCTATTGTTTGGACTGTGAATTATTCCATCTTCCTATATTCACTCCACCCAGTTCGATTGTCTGATATTCATTATATTACCCATATACTACGTGTATTTGGGTCCTTGAGATGAAAATACTCTTGTATTGAGGTCTGGGGCTGGAAAAAGAACAAAAGTTCAGCCGTCTGCAGACCATGGGATATAGCGAGTCGTACCTTAGTTCTGCTACAGCTTTCCCCAACCAGATGCCTTTTGGATGTATTGGACTCCAGATTGCGTTCCCGGACAGTACGGCCACCAGGCTGAAGATGATGGGAACTATAGTCCCAAATGTATAGAGGGCACCAGATAGAGGGATGCTTTTCTACCGAAAAGCATTTCCATTCCCATAACCCTGATTTTTGCTTACCCCTTCCATCTACTGCACCACCCAGTATCATATCCTAATCAAAGGATCCTCCATCCCATAGGAGTTACTCGACAGGAGGCATAAGAGGCTGCAGTGCCTGGGAGGGAGGCAGCATTCAAAACAGGGGGGCCGACCAACAGCAAGGAGAAGTACTAGATGAGTGATGACTTGCAGCAGTGACCCATGCTATGGTAACTTCCCAACTGGATTATTGTAATGCGTTCTATGTGGGGCTGCCCTTGAAGACAGTCCAGATACTTCAGTTGGTTCAGAACAGACCAGGATACTAACAGGGACCAGCAGGTATTCACATATAATGCCGGCCCTCTATCGTTTACACTGGCTACCAATTGAAGTCTGGGCCCAATTTAAGGTGCTGGTGATGACCTATAAAGCCCTAAACGGCTTGGCTCCTGGATACGTGAAGGAGCGCCTTCTCCCCTACGTGCCCTCCCACCCCTTGAGATCTGAGCCAGAGGCTCTCCTCTGGGAGCCGTCCTTGAAAGTGATCAGGATGGTGAGTTCCCGGAGGAGCGCCTTCCCTGCAGTGGTGCCCCGACTGTGGAACATGCTCCCCACAGAGGTTCGCCTGGCGCCAATGCTTCTTTCCTTTCGGGATCAGGTGAAAACCTTTTTATTCTCCTAATATTTTAATTGTTAACCTGTTTTAATTGGTGGTTTTATATTTAACATTGGATGCTGGGCAACCACTACTTTATTTCTATTTTTATTCTATTTTATTAATCTGTTGTAAACCATCCTGAGACATCTGTGAAGGGATGGTATAGTGACGTTATACATACATACATACAAACATACATACTGCTCATGAGCACAGGACTCCCACTGAACACCACCCCATCAATATAACTATGTGGAATAGTTTATTTTATGTGGGATTTGGGATAATGTTGTAAGCCATCCAGAGATGACAGTGAGGGGTGGCCTACACATTTTCTAAATAAATAAAATAAATAAATAAAGATGACTGGCAAAGCATTTCCAGGTACGTTGAATGTCATCAGCTTTCACAGAATGAAGAGGCATGATGCAGACTGAGTGAGATGCATCCACAAGCGTGCAAAGGCCTGAGACCCACCGGCAAGCCCATCCTTAACCCCAAGCAGGATCGTGTGGGATACGCCCACCTGATCCTAACAGACGATCCTGCTCAATGCTCCGGAGGAAGGTGAAAAAGCCCCGGCGTCTGCCAGTGTGCCGTGGAGGGAATTTCCTTCCCGATGCCAACCCAGGAGGCCAGTTCAACCCTGTGCATAAGAGCAAGAATCACTTATGTTAAAGAGGAAGGCAGCCGCGAATGTCATTCCCATTTCTTTCCTGCAAGCCACCTTGTCCCCGTGTCCTGTGTGGAATGGAGCATCACACAAACTAGGGGATTTGTATGTCATTAACTTCACTGGCGGCACTTTACCATCATATGAAACGGGTGCTTTTAAAGTCAAGAGCAGTGATGGCAAAAGACAAGTGGATAATTATGCGTCTAGAACTGGGGTGAACTACTGGTGGCCCTCCAAATGTTTCAACCTACGGCTCCCATCATTCCTCCCCATAGGCTTTGCTGGCTAGGGCTGATGGGAGTTGTAGGCCAAAGCCTCTGGAGGGATGCCAGCTGCCTCCCCCCCCCCCCCACTACAGGATCTCTCTGGGGGTGCAATGAATGATCTGGGACAGGAAATGCAGTTTGCACTTGTTGCAAAGAAAGAGTTAATCTGAAGTTGCTGGTAGTAAACAGGGACAAGAAAAGTAATGCCATGAACTCAGTATGGTTTGGTCCACAGCTTTGATTCTCAGCTTGCAAAATAAGAAGTACACAGGCATAAAATCACCACCTTCTAAGTTCTTAGAATCAAACAGTTAGAAGGGGGCTAGAAGGCCATTAGGTCCACCTCCCTGCTCATTGCAGGACTAAAGTCTCCCATCCAGCTTCTAACCAAGCCAGACCCTGCTTAGCTTTCAAGAGTAGGCAGGATCAGGCACTTCAGAATGGGATCAATGGTGGCAGGACTAGCTCTAGGCCTGAGGAGACCCTCAGTAATGTGTCCTCTGGTGGTTCCCCTTCTCCATCACTGAGCTTCTGGTCACAGAGTTATTTTAAAACTCACTTGCTGCCCTTGGCACAGCACCACTCTATGGCACCATGGACAGCTTAAAATAGTGGCCCTCAGGCCACATTGGGAGCATCCTGGGAAATCTAAAATGGCGCCTCATGAAACCAGGGCAGCTGGCAGTGCCAGTGGGCCCTGCTTGAACCCCAAGCCAAGACCAAGGGTAATCGAAGGCTTAAGAAAAAGAATTCTTGACATGCTCTCTCTGCTGCCCGGTCAAAGAAATGGTGAGCTTGCTTATGAAGATTTACACCTATATACACTGATCACTATTAGATTTACACCTATATACACTGATCAAAACCCAAGACTGGTTGTCTTACCACCATCACCAGGTATATGTTGGAAAGCTTCCTCAAAAATACGTTTCCCCATCCTTTAAAGAGTCTTCAGAAGCTGCAGAATTACATAGCTGAGTATGGAGCTATGTATACTCTGTATGCGGAGCAACGGTTTGAGTGTTGGAGTGGGACTTGTGGGACCCATGCTCTAGTCCTTGCTAGGGCATGAAGCACTTTGGGCCAGTCACAGACTCTCAGCCTGGGGTTACCTGATAATGTGGTGGTGAAGATAAAATGCAGAGATAATAGATTGGGTGGGTTGCCTTGGGTCCCTTGCAGGAAAAAAGTGGGATACAAAAATACGTTACACCTATACTCTGATTACAAAACTGAATCCACCCAAGCACAATTCAAAGTGTTGGCAATTGCCCTTAAAGCCCCAAATGGCTTGGATCACAACCCTTAAGAATTTCCTTTATCCATACCAATTTGCCTTCTGAAATGCAGAAGGAACGCACAATGCCCCCCTCCCCTGATGTTCTGTTGCAGCAGGACTGAGAAAGCTGCCTTATGTTAATTAAGGCCATGGGTCCATCTAATATTGCCAACACTGACTGGCAGTGGCTCTACAGGTTTCAGAAGGAATTTTCCAGTCCCACCTGGAGGTGCTGGGGATTGAAATGGGCAGACTCTGCCTGCACAGCAGATGCCCTTCCATTAACCCACAACCCCTCTTTTATGGCAACCACTCCATTTTGGCTGCTAAAAGCTTGTTCTGCTTGACATTCTGCGGTTTTCTCCTCGGTATTTTGTTGCCTTTTGCATCTGTGTTTTGCTTTTCATTTTATCTTTCACTGCAATTTTAGGTTGCTGTGAGCTACCTACAAAGGTATTCTCTAGAAGGGCAGTATTTTAGGGCTGCTGGGGTTATAGGGGTGCATTAGGACCTGGAATTTGTGTGAGGTGTCCATTTTAGCTTGTGGCACCTTTATGCATGCGTGTACAAAGTATGGATGTACAAATTATGAATTCCTCACTGGAATTGCAACCAAAGGAGCTCCATCCGCCTGACAGTTTTAATGAGAATGACAGTAACATTTGAAAATTGTGGCTGCTTTCTAGAGACATTTGCACACAGCTTAGAAATCTGGAGGGCTTATGTTGAGAATATGTCACAGCTGAGAAATCCACTATTACATCTGACTCCATTCAAATTCTCAAACTGAGAAGTTTCTGTGCACATGGAAACTAAAATTAAATGGGACCAGGGCATGCAATTGTAAAAAGCACCCTTGAAAGCACATTATGAATATGAGGGCAAACCCTTCCTTTTAAAAAAATCAAGCTTTATCCAAATAAATTGCTAATCTAAATTTTCTACCCTGCCTTTTAATGGCTAACCTGAGCCCTAAGCACTTAAGTACTTCAGTTGTAGGCATATTTTTTTCTCATGTTATAGGTGCATTGGCAAAATAATGATAGCACTGAGTTATTTCATAGGAATCTAATGCTGGAGGACACAAACAAGTGGTTTTTATCACTGTTGTGACAAGGCACGACTATCATTCCTCGTCCGGTCCCCATCCTGTCCCATATATTTTAGCAGGGGTAGGCAACTTTTGGAGTCATGGACCTATCTGGCAATTTGATAAACTTTCATGAGCACTCCTTCAAAATATCCTTCATGGGAGGTATGGCAGAGCAGGGGACCTGTCCAGAAGACTGAGTACAAGGCAGAGGTGGGGTCTGAACCCCAGAACAAGTCCTCTGAACTCACAATTTATATTGTAAGCCATCCAGAAATGACAGTGGTGGACACTGTCTATAAATGACCTGGATGGATGGATGGATGGATGGATGGATGGATGAATTTAAAGCAGAGATGTATTGCACAGGAAGGCCAGTTGCCAGTAAGAATTTTTATGTGTGTTGGTTATTTTTTTCCAAAGAGGGGATATTTATTTATTTCAAACATTTCTATGCCGCCCCATTCGCAAAAAGCCTCGGGGCGGCTTACAAAACAGATTGCACTTTGAAAGGGATAGCAAAGAGGGGATAGCATTTTGTGCCTTGGTCAGAGCAAGCGCACGAAAGGAAGGCCTTTGTTGAATTATTTATTTATTGTTACTGTTATTGTGCCAGAGAGGTCTCATCCTGTTTTACTTCTTGCAACTGCAGAATGCACAACTGTTAGTAATAAGAGAGCAGGGTGAATTTCCAGCTAGGCACCACTCAATTCAGTTCATCTCCCATGCTTTGGTACAGAATATGGTAAATGTACCTATGAAATGTCTTGACATGAATAGACTACCATTTATCAGGACGGTTTTGTAACATTCTTACTGTTTCTCGTACCCAACACGTAGTGAGAGCCCTCATTTTAGTACCACGAAAACTGATCCTTATTTTTGTACACTGACACTAGTCTAATCCAGCAAAATGTCCAACCAAGGGCAACATCTTAGTACTTTTCCCCATTTTTCCAATTAAAGCCTCATCAAGATGCCCTACTAATTCCAATACTCTGCAATCAGCTATGCTGTCATGAAGCAAGCCCTCTGGTTTGCTGTCTTTGTGGCTAGTCATGTGCAGAAGTGCCCTTCAAATGGGGATCCACCTTCAGTACATGAATGGCCACACCTGCAACTCTAGACCTCAATATCACACTGAATAATAAATGCACAGGCACCCTAAAGAGGCAGTGAAAATCCAAAGCAATGTGAATGAATAGGGGTGCAAAACCTCAGGCCCGGGAGTTAATCTGGTCTTCCTGGAGTTCCAGCCTAATGCTCTCACAGGTTCTACCTGCTGCTCCCTGACCAATTGTTCAGTGGTTCCCAGCTCTGTGCAGTTTTCCCCTATTGCAAAGGCTGAACTGTATCTCCTAAGACATAGTGGGTGCTTTCAATACAATCTGCTGGTATTTTAGGTATCTGTCCCCATTTACCTTTGGTCCTGGCCCTTTTGAATTTGTCTCCACCCCACCTCACCCCACCCCACCCCACCCCCTACTGGAATGCTGTGCCACAGCCCTTCTCCCAAACAGAATGCAGCCTTGGGGCAGAAGATGTGCAACACCCTTGAAGATTTCATTGTAAGGCAATTGATTTCTGCATGATCCTTAAACCTCTTAGATGGATATTTGCATCAAGAATAGGCAGAGCTTCAGAAAGTAGGTTGGGATCTATGGATAGGTCTCATTCTGTGGGTGATCTGCAGCAGATCGCTAAAGAAGTATCTTCTAATTGTTTAACAATGGCAAGTACAAAATGACTCTCCTTCTCCACACAAAAGCTAAATTACATTTTTTAAATGAGGAAAACTGAGTGGGATGGAGGAATGGATACTTGCTTGTTGGAATTTGAGTTCTGATACTCAAAATGGATTTCTTGGCTCAGTTCTTTAATTTTCAGGGCCAAACTAAACTTGGATTGTTGATGTTAGTGGTAAGCGACCCTAACCCTAACCACAGTCCTCCAGGAAGTGGGGATCTGAGCCATCCTCACTGCCACTGTTGCTCACAAATTACACACAAAAACTCATGAACTGTACAGGAATGGGACAGAAGTTAAAAAAGAAAAACTGTCTCCACTGGAAGTGATATTTTATTTTTGCTTGCTTGCTTGAACTCCTCTATGAAGGAGGAGGGGGAAGCTTAAATTTATTTATTTATTTATTAAAAAATTTCTATATATAAATGTCCCCTCCCAGAGTGTCTCAGTCCCAATCCAAATGAGGTCCATGTGAACATACATGGAAGTTTAAAAAGTAATTTGAAGAATACTTAATTTGGCCTTGATTTGTCTTGATTTGGCTCTGGCTGGTGAATCATGGGCTTCCAGTTACACACACACACACACACACACACACACACACACACACACAGAGAGAGAGAGAGAGAGAGAGAGAGAGAAAGAGAGAGAGAGAGAGAGAGAGAGAGAGAGAGAGAGAGAGATTCCACATCCCTGAGCTAAATGGCAGCTCCCCAGTATCTTAGTCTGATACTTGTGCACCAAATCAGAAATCAGGGAAGCTAATACTACAAATAGCTCAACATTACAATGAACATCCACCTATTCTGCCCAAGGCACTAACTACAGCTTCTGCTGGACAGGACTTCATGGTCTTTCCCCAGCATTTCAGTTGAGTTTACATGGCTGTCCTATTCCAAGGGATCCTTACAGGAGCTCTGCTGTACACATGGAGGTCTCAGCTCTGCTGTTCACAAGACCTCCTTGGTGGCTGGTGGGGTAACTTTCTAGGTTCAAAGAGATGGATATGTAGTGTTGCTTCCTTCCTGTATGCAAGTGGAGAAATTCCCTAGCACAGAAGTGCTGTGATCACATTAAAGAATACCTGGAGCTCTTGGTTGTATTTAAGGACAAGAGCCATTTCTAACATCAGAAGTCCATTTCTCAATTTATGTGACACCATTAATATGCTGGTGCTTGGAAGTTTTTATTGCCTTCAGCATGTAGAGTCATCCCCCATGCTGGTTTAACTTGTCCAACTAATTTCAGTGGCCCTATTCTAAATAGGACTAACATTCAAAAAAATCCATAACTTGCAAGGAAAAACATACAGTAGATGTGCAAGCAGAAAGACGGCGTGCTCCAGAGATCTGCAGCAGGTTGCAGAGCCCTGTGCCCATGTGTTTGGTCATACACACTTCCTGTTCATACTTTACATTTATATCTCAGCAAATGCTGATATGGAACCATCACACTGTGAATGTGCTCCATTTACACTAATACATTATGCCCTGCTACAGGATGAGATATTTACATACATGTTGACTGATAAGCTATTGGAGATGATGTTGCAGGACAAATTTTAATTGGAGGATATCCACAGTTTCAGATGAGTTCTGTTGCGTTGTCATACCAAAGCCTTAGCAAGGAGCCCATGTGCTATTTGGCTGCTATCCAATCTATATATAAATTAGAAACATTCCAATTGCTGAACATATGAGAAAAACAGCAATTAAAAAATATTTTTAAATAACATATTTCAATGTGGCACTCATTAACAGATGCTCCAGTGCCCATACAAAGCCATTGGAGGTGGGATTATTAAAGTTAATCAACTGTTAATAAAGCAGATAGCCCTCTCAGGCAGTCACACACCTTTGGACACTCTGTGGGTGATGCAAGAGTTGTTTAACCCTTGCATAAGCCCCTCTACTGGATTAATGCAACATAATAACTCCCACCATTATATGAATAGTAAAAAGGGTGGCTGTCACATGCCATAAGCCAGGCTTAATTTTTCCATAGTTGTTCTTGTGTAAATTGATATGAGTCACAGCATATTTCCCATTCATCTAACATTTTCCAGGGTTGTTACCAGAATTGCTAATCTGAGTTATTATTCAATAGCAGTAAAATCATTCCTCATTCTTGCTCCAGACAACTTGGGTCTCCCCAAAGCTGAAGTGGCAGAAAAACCATGTCCTGCAGTCTTCCAGGGGCTCAATTAATTTCCTGAGTTCTGCTGCAACTAGAGAAGAGCTGTCAAAAATCCGGAAGGTTGCAACACATGTGACTTATAGACTATGCTCATCTTAGTGAATCACATTAATACAGGCTGGATTTGTACAGCGCCCAGAAAGCTGTCACTTTCAGGTACAAAGTTAACTGCCTCCGTATGTGTAGACCAAGCTGGATACAAACACAGCCCACACACACACACACACACACACACACAATCTCTCTCACGGTGGTGAACTGGAACCAGGGCTCACAGGGATGCAGAGCTGGCACTTTTAAATGAGCAGCGACACTGACATCATCTGCCACCCTAGAGTTCCCTGTTCTCAGTAAGTTTAGCTGCCATTGTCACAAGATCTGAGGGGGAAAGAATTTTCCCAACAACAGTGTAATGTCTCCTGCTGTAATGCAAAGAATCTGGGGATGGTTCAGTCTTGAATGGGCAAGTAAACCAGACTAGCTTCACGGAAGACCTCCTGGTGGAGGTTCAAACTGCTCTGTTCGATAGACGGTTAGAACTGTTTTGCTGATAGCGAGGAACAAAGCAGCTTGCATGTTTGGACTCTTCTTGGGGACGTGGCAATGGGGGCCTCCCATGATGAGTGCCTGAACTTCAACATTTACCACTACAACAAAGTACACACATATGACATCCTGCATGGATGATGCGCAAGCAAATCCAACCAGCCGTTCATTCCAGAGAAGTCTTGAAATCACCCCATGAACTTCAGTGCAAGTATGAAGTGCAAATTACCCCATGAACTGAAGCGCAAGAACTTCAGTGTGTTTGTATGCATGATGTACTTCAGCTTATAGGCCATCCTTATCCTAAATGCCTGCAGGAAAATAAGGGCAGTGGCAGCAACAAAGAACACTAATAACACAAAATGAATTGTCTTCAAATTGAAACTTCATTGATCTTTCCCTCTCCCTCTCCCTCTCCCTCTCCCTCTCCCTCTCCCTCTCTCTCTCTCTCACACACACACACACCTCACAGCATTTAATTCCAAGGCCTAGCCTATGCAGACAGGTCCTTCAACATTCAGGTACTTATTTTATTTATTAATTAACTCCTACCAACCCAGATCAGGGAACTTACATATGTGAAATTTTAAAAATCACGTGTGAAAAACAATTAAATATTGGTGCTTGTGGTTCCAGAACTAGGAGCAGCTCAGAAGAAAAGTCTAGGTCAGAAAGATGGCTCTGAGCTGCAGGCATTTGCCCAATTACTGTTTGGAAGCCAGCACCACCACCATCACACTTGACCTCTAGCTTAACTATGTAGCTGAGAGGAGAGAAACCATAACATTTCCTTTCTATTTTATTTCCATCTGCAATTTCAGCATCCCATAGTAAGCTACCCTCAGACCTCTCTGGGTCTGCTTTCTAGGTATGAAATGGCAACCAGTCCAGAATGAACACCTCTTGCTTTGCCACAGCAGGGGCGCAGAATCTCAGATGGGGGTGGGGGGGGGGGAATCTAGCCTGCCAGGCTTCCAATGCAACCTCATGACCTCTGCCCCCTCCCCTTTCCTAACCACCCATCATTTGGTGGTTCACCAGCTCTTGTGCAGTTTTTCCCCATTCTGGAAGGTTGAGATGTCTTTCCTACATCTTAGTTACTGCCAGTAAGAGCATTAGGCTAACATATTCTAGCATGCTCTGAAATTGTAGTCCTGCCCCTTTTGCCGGTGGCGCTACCCATGACTGCATGTGGCCACAAGAGCACCCCCAAATGGAACTGTACTGAAAGAAATGCAGCATCACAGGTTTTCTGTAATCCATCTCTCTCGCCCATCTAAAGAGCAGGACACATGGAAGCTTGCTCACAGCATGCAAGAGAGGGGACATGTGACAGGCTGCTTGGGAAAATGGGTGGGAGAGACGGATGCTGTCTCATTTTCCAATTTAGCAGCAGATATGAAAGGAAAAGGGGAATCAGCAGGTCGGGACCTGGCAAATTCAGCTGAAGGTCCACAAGTTTTGCCTCCAGCAAATATTGTCCACTGTGTTCTTTTAGTTCAAAATCATTGCTTTAGCTCATGGACATTGTATACTGTACAAATAAAGTACAAATATCAAAGACAAATGTTGTTCCTTCCTCCTTTCTAATGCTTTGTATTTAATCCTAACCTGTCCATTACATCAGCATCCCACAGCTTGTCTTAGTCACCCTATGGAATAGCAAAGTGTAGCTAAAGCAGCACTATCCACACACAAAAGGGACTTGTCAGCAGACCTGAAAGAACTCCAAGATTTGTAAAAAAAAAAAAAAAAAAAGTGTGTGTGTGTATTAAAAGTAGAAAATTTGGGATGGGGGTGGTGGTTAAAAATAGTAAACTCTCAGGACAGCTCCATACAGACCAAGGATCCTCAGTGGCCATGGAATTTTGGATTAATGTTCCACTGGGAAGAATCTCCCGACATGACAGGCTGTGTGGAACTCATAACATTTTGCTTTTCAGTCATAATCTGCTCTAACTAATTTTCCCACCCCAGCTTTAGGAGGAAATGAAGTTGCAGATACCATTCTGGATGTTCCAGCCATCACCCCATCCAAGGTGGGTGCAGGAAAATAAAATCTCCTCACCATCAGAGAGTTCCACTTCATATGGGGATGGTCTTCTTTTCACTCGATTGTTGTTGTACATTGAGAAGTTGTCTGGCTCTCCAAAAAATCCACTGAAAAGCGAGAGGAAAAGAAAACAACCATGTGAGGCAAAACCCAGACCCTCTAGCTAAGTGGGCTTCTACAAAAACCAATGAGAAACCATTCAGTGCAGTTCCCCTCAGCTGAGGATTTAGATATCGGTATGTTTGCACATGTGAGTGCATAAATCTGTGTGTTCTTTGTGTGATAAGCATTTATAATCTGTGTACACACATTTATAAATGCTTATCACTCATGAAAACACCCACAGAGCTTGGGCTGTAAGTCTAAGGAAATTAATTTGGATGGAAGGTCTGTCAAAATCCATTTGTCTTCTTTGTAATTTGTATTTGTACTACATATTTTTCATAAACATTTTTACAGTGCTTCTAAGGAAGGAATTAAGTGTAATTGGTTGCCTTTAAAAAAAAAAGTCCAAGGGATGTTTATCTATTTAAGTATTTGGCTCCTAGAAATTATTGTCAAACCATCGAAGCCCAAAGCTCAATTGCTTTACAAAGATTTCGTTCACAACATTTATGTGAATTGCCATTCGACTGCATCGCATTCCTATGGATGAGGGCACTGCGAATCACCCTGGATAATTTCCCTGACTAATGGTCAGAGCACTCAATGGATCCCTCTTTTAAGCACGCAGCAATGTTTTCGCTCATTTCGGATACTTGGCCAGTGTCGACCACACTTCCATAAGAAAGCGAGAAAGTTCAGAATACCCACATCACGTTTGCCATGCCTATACTTTCCCCCATTACTACGCCCTCGCTAGTAACCATCCCATTATCTTTCAGCACACAGAGCGTTTTGCACTCCTTCCGTTCCCACGTGCACTTCTAAACAAGAATGGGCACCATCTTTGAAAGATCTTGTTATAAAGGGCCGCATAAGCAATACATTTTGGGAAATGTTTTATGCAGACATCAATGAGTCGCTCAGTTTGGGCACGTAATTTGCAGCGGTTGCATTCAGAAGAGAATTGCCTGTAGGTAAATCGTCTGTGCTGATAGACAGGTACGAAACATCTTTTGCTCAGAAGACTCAGGCTGCCTTCTGGTGACGCGTGGCCCACGAGCACGTTTAGACAAAACCTGTATTTAGCCCAGAACCCCAAAAGCACACCTGATCCATCGAAAGAGACAATGCAGTGGGGAAGGGATGCCGAAGAACGCGGGTTTAGCACAGAGAGGATACCAAAGCATCAGCCACATTTTTTTAAAGAAAGATGCTTGTTTTCAAAAGAGAAGCGAAGGAAAATGGGAAGAAAAGAGACAGGAAAACAGCTCAAGCGAAGGTTCAGAAGTTTTAAAAGGCAAACGAAAGCTCACAGAGGCTGGGGAAAGGAAGGGGCACGGGAGGATAGAAACTACTTTCGTGTAAAATATCCCAAACGCTTGCAAAAGAAGCCCGAGACGTTGGCAGGCAGAAGCAGCCAGCGGAAGCCGCGCCGCCCGCCCCCCCCCCGCCCGCCCGCCCGCCCGCCCCCAAACGAAGCCGCCCCGGCTGCGGACGCTGCGACGGACCTGCTGGCGGCGCTGAGCGGGGGTCCGAGGCCGTAGAGCATGGCTCGGGAGGGCGGCTGGAGCGGGAGCGCGGGCGCTGCGCTGGGGCTGAGCTGCACCATGCGGCCGTCGAGGCTGCCGCCGCCGCCGCCGCTGCCGCCGCCGCCTCCGCTGCCGCCGGCGGGGGGCGTGCCGGCGCCGGTGCCCGTGCCGGTGCCGGTGCCGGTGCCCGTGGCGCTGGCGAGGGCGAGGGCGAGGGCTGTGGGCGGCTCGGAGCGCGGCGCTCTGTTGCCGCCGCCGCCGCCGTCGCGCTGGCTTTGCATGGCCCCGGCCGGCGCGTCTCTGACTTTTATAGGGGGCCGGCCGCCGCGCACCAGCTCGATCACGGGCACCGGCGCGGCGGGGGGGCCTGCGCCGGGGGAGGGGGGCGGCCGGCCGGTCTCCTTGGCAACCCCATTGAGCAGCGCCGACTCCCCCGGGAGGGCCATCCCCCCGCGCCGCCGCTGGTCGCTGCCGCCGCCGCCGCCGCCGCTGCTGCTGCCGGAGCCCAAGCCCAGGTCCGGCTCTCCGACGCCCTCCGCTCCGGCTCCAGTTCCGTGCGCTGCATCCCGCGGCGGGTCACTGGGGGACCTCTCCATCAGCATCCTGGTGGGGAGAAAGACCAAGCGGAGAGCGGTGAAGGAGGGGCGCGCAGGCAGCGGGGGGAGGAGGAGGAGGAAGAGAAAATCGGTGGCGGCGGCGAGGGGTGGAGGGAACGGAGGAACGGGAGGAAAAGGAGAACGCGAAGGAGGACGAGGAGGAGGAGGAGGAGGAGGGGAGAACGAGAGAGGCGGGGAGAGAGAAAAGAATGCGGGAGGGAGAAAACTTGGGAAGGCGAAGAGAAAAGAGAGCGCGGGGAGGGGTAGAAAGAAGGAAGGGGGAAAGAGGAGGGAAGCTAAAGGGATAAATAAGCGGGGAGCAAGGACGTGGGAGGCATCTGAGAGAGCGAGAAAGGGAAAGTGCAGGCCAAAAGCGCTGGGGGCGGGAGCGGGGCCGGGCGGGAGGGAGGGAGGGAGAAGAAGGCGCCCAGGAACAGGGACCGCGGCGCCGCCTTCCGACGTTGCCCGCCTGCCCTGGGCAGCCGCGGGCGCTGCGTGTGGCCAGGCGCCCGTGCAGGGCTCGCCGCAGCGTTCCCGCGGGCGTTTGCCTGCCGTTCTTCTGCGCTTGGGCCCAGACGAGCTCGGGCCACCAAGAACTGGATGGCCTCAGGGACCCGGGTCTAGCCGCTCGGGGAGCTCCCTGCGGTGGGCGAGGAACGACGGGCTTGGGGAAGCCTGTCTTCGCCTCAGTCCCTGTCCTCAGGGAGAACCATCTTAGCCCTCCCTTGCCGTCCTCCTGTTCTGCCTTCTTTTGCCTTTGCGCCTTAAAATCCAGACGCGCGCGCGTACGCGCGCGCGCCCCGACCGAGCCATAGGCTGGAGACGCCTCACACGCAAAGTCTGGGACCTGTTATTAGGAATGCCTGTTTTTCATGGGATCCGAGGCCGCAGCTTCCCCAACCTGATGGCCTTCCAGATGTTTCGGACTTCAGCTCCCATCAGCCACAGGCAGCATGGCCTGAGGTCAGGCATGCCGGGAATCGCTACCCGAAACATCTGGGGGGAACCAGGTTCAGGAAAACCAGAGCCACCTTTGCGCGGCGAAATCGTCCGCCAAAGCCAGGGACGCGGGAGCTGTGTTGTGTTTGCGCGATTCGGATTAAACCCAGCGGCGCATCTTCCTAGGAGGAGCAGGGGGCCAGGTTCCCCGCAGCCAGCCTGCCAAAACCAAACTTTTCTTTCCATTTTCGTGCCCGTGATAAGAAGCAGGGTAGGGAACAATAAGACGTCCCGATTGCTACCTCAATTGTAGACCGAGCTGGCAAGAGCGGGAGAAGACAGGCTGATCTAGCACCCGCTGGCTGTGGCAACCAGTCAAAGCAGGGCTGTGACTGAATTCACATTTCCGTATTAATTTATTCCACCGATGGAAGAGGCGGAGGACGAGGAATATCCGCACAGATCTGCGCTCGGCGCTAAGAACAGCCTCCTGAGCCTGACCCTCGCCTCGTGACCACGGAGAACCCTGGTGCTCGGCCTTCAGCCGCGCTGTGCACAGAACTGCCGATGCGTTCAAATGAATCGCGGGCGCTGCAAGAGAAGCCAGAGCGGCCCTTGTCTCGCCCCGCTGCTTTCCGCACCGCAACACTCAAGAACGCACTTGCCAGAGCTCAGCTGCGCCCGGATCCGAGAACAGAGTCATATTTACCGGAGCCAACTCAGGTCACAAGCGGATGAGTATCTGGTCCCGAACCAGCTTGCGCTCCAAAGTCGCCCCTCGGTCTGCTCTATCCGAGGGCAGCCCATTAAATACGAGAATCTGGACGCTAGCCAGTGCACAGTCGAGTTCAACACAGCTCTGCCGTGGACGTAAAGGGGTCTTTCCCCAGCGAATGGATCGAGACGTGGTATGGAAATTAGCTGATCCAAATTAGCTGAAATTTAACCTCAAATACCCTTCCAGCAGCCCGTTCGGGCTGCAGTCCGAAACACAGTTCTGAGCGGGGAGTAAGTACCGCAGAAATCAGTGCCACGTACTTCCGAGTAAGTCTTGCTAGGACGACCGCGTTGCCCTTGTTCTGCGCCGCCCCATCACTTCGGGAGCCTGGGCACCCAGCGCTCAGTGGGACTGGTCTCGTCCGAAATGTTAGTGTTAGCGGCCGTGCTGGAGCTCCGACTTAAGATCCTGACTTACACTTAAAAACAAAACAAAACAAAAGACAAATTCAACAAGACAAAACCAAAATGGAACAGAGCACATGAAGAGATGGCAGGTGACTGGCGATGCGGCCTAAAGAAACACCTATTTTCAAATCGCTTAAGTGCATGCAACGTAATTATTTCCGTTTGGCTTTCTCCGCTGAGCTGCGGGTTGTTAATTTCACGCCTCAAGTCTAAATCCAGACAGCGCCTCGCTCCGCTGGGTGGAAAAATGACGCTAAAAGCTCGAGGCGCGATCCTCAAAATTCACCCGGAAGCCGTTTCCAGACATCCACGCGCGTAATGGGCATTTTCTAAAGTAAGAGGTTAGCAGCAATGCCTTCACAGGGCGCTCTTGTGCGTGTCTACCCGGCAGTGGCCTTTAATGCTACGGGTCTTACTCCCAGGTAAGTGGGTCTGAGATTGCAGCCTGACGCACTCTCCGTTTGATTTCAAGGGAGAAAGAGGTTTCCAGTTCGCACCGGCGGCTTGTAATCCATGCGGTTTCCCAGTGGTTTGCAAGAAGCCCGAGAAAGCTACGGATTGCGAAGTCATTAGCTCTGAAGGAAGCTGATCTGCGCCAATTTATTCCGCTCTGAGGTACGCGAAGGCTCCAGACGCGCAGCAAGTGCCGCCTACAACCATTTGGACTGGATTTCAATTTCGGTCAAGTTCAAGCTGCAATCCTATACCTATTTACCTGGGAGTAAGCCCCGTTGAACTCAGTGGTATTACGTTGCCCGAACACACGACTGGATTGCACTGTTCGTTGCAATCCTATACTCAGAAGTAAGTTCCATTGCGTCCAGTGGGACTCACTCCCAGTAAGAAGAGATAATGGGTCGCCGTCCGTCTAAATCTCTCTCCTGTCCTCTCGCCCTGCCACGCCGCTTCCTTGATCCGGCATGGAAGCGGATTTCTCCTGCCCCGACATTTTCCGCGCGGCAGCCCCTACGGGATGCAGGCCCCTTTGCTTCCGTCGGATAGTCTCCTTCAACAGCATCTTATAGGGGTGGGAGGGGAAGGGGCGGCTTTGACAATGAGAAGTGCTTTGTTGAACCGGGAGACGAGAAGTTGTTGCTACTGAAATCTGACAGATGTGGATTATATTTCCCTGTACGATATCATAAGGTCCAATTAAAAGGGGAGGGAGGCAGCGCTGCGGGGGGGGGGGGGTGCGCGTGGAGGAAACTCGACTGAGCTGGCCTATCTTTTCATGAAGCCTTTCTTATTCTCTGGCTTCTCCACCCACCACCCACCCCCATCGCCACCCGAACATCCACCTCCAATGCACACTCGCGGAGAGACCCAGAGAAATTAAGATGAACGTCTGGCGCCCTTCAAAACGGAGATCTACCAGGAGGAAAATACCCTTCGTGGCATCCACAGAATTTTCGTGAAAGTTGCAGTTGGTTTGTTGGAATTTAACTGCACAGGACAAAGACAGCAACGTGGCTCGACAAGCCGGTTCAGGCTGAAATCCTACAGCTTCTTCCCGGGAGTAAACTCCGCTGGACTCAGTGGGACTTTCTTCGGAGCAGACCTGTGTAGCATTTCAGCAAAACAGTACAATCCAAGGTGCGCCCACTCGGATGCAAGTCTCCCTGCTTCCAAAGGGGCTTACTCCCAAGTACACAGGCGTAGGAGAGCAGCTTAAACTTGACCGAATTCGAAGTCACGTGGAAATGAATTTGGGTGGAAGCAGAAACGTTGACAAGAGGGGGAAATACACGAATGCCCCGAGGATACTCGATTCCTAACGGTACATTGCGCATTAATGCCCCTGCCCTTCATCTGAAGCGCGTCCCTTTGATTTTGAGGGAGTCCGCTTGCCAGTAAACATGTTTACTACTGCAACCTAATTTTAGTTTGAGTCAAGTCTGTTTCGCATGCCAAAAGCGCTTCCCCCTCAAGTAACTGCAGGGGTCCAGCATGTGGGGAGCAAAGCTACTTGTTAGTGGGACCGTCTGTCCGAACCCGAAGCCCACCTCGCCCCCTCCCCGGACATCCTCTCATGCTGCCTATGCTGGACAGTTACACTCCCATGGAAGCCAGCCTCACCCGGGAGAGCCACAGGGCAATTCCATTTCACTGTATGCACCCCTAACGCAGCTCCACTTAAAAACTGGAAAAGCATGTAGGTATATTATGACCACTTTTTCTTGCAAAAAAGCGCCCTCCTTGAATTTTAGGACAGGTTTTTTGCCATGGGGGGGGGGGGGGCGTTTTGTCTTCCTTTTTAACTTTCAGTCTGAGGATGACTCCTGTGTGACCCCCTAGGTTTGGTTTTTGCACCCTGCTTTGCTTAGGGAAAATAAAACGATATTTTCTTTAGCTCAATGCTTCCTTCCTGTTCTGTGGTGCAGGGAAAGGAATGTGGCTCTTTATTTTCCTCAGGAATTCATGATCCGCGATCCTGGAGGCAACAGAGCCTTGCTCCTGAGACAGTTGTTGTAAGCTTAGGCAGTGGGGCTGCTAGGGAAGTAACTGGTCTGCATTTTACAAGAGAGATGCAGAGAAATTCTGATGTCTTTGTGGAAATCTGGAGGGCTTCGTTGCAAGTGGGGTTTTTAGTGCACAAACTACTCTCAGAAGTGGCCAGCAGGTTTATTCTGCCGGCCTTGCTCCTATTATGGCTATTTTCCATTCGACTGAGGAAATGCACAAGTGAAAACGGGCACAGAAAGTGGGCCTTTGCATATAACACCTAATCCAGAATTTGCAGTGAGTACAACAAAATGTGGTGATGATGAACGGGTAAACAAATTTATGGAGACAGATGTTTCTGTCATGGAGCCTCCATTAGCAGGAACAGTATAGCTTTGGTAATTAGATGCTGTGAAAAATGGCAGAAGGTTCTCATTGTTCACTTGCCTTATTTTGTATTTTCATTTTAAAATATTTAAAAGGCTATTAAATATAAAGATAATTAAAACCTTATTATAATAACCTTGGCAAGCCCCCTCCATTTAACATTTAAATTACAGCACATGCATAAACTAAAGCATTAATTTGGTGACATGGGGAGGAGAATAAAGAGTCAGATAATATCTAAATAAAACGGATTGGTTGTGCAGGGAGCAGAATGGTGTATGTGTGTGAGAGAGACTGGGAATATATTCTGGCTCATGTGACTACCCACGAAGGGACAACTGAACCAGATTCTGTAGTTCTTCTCTTCTCATCGAGGGCTTAGCACTGACATGCGTCGCAAACATTATCGTGTGTTTCCACACAATTTAAATTTCACTCCCACCAGGCCTGAAGACCTGATCCAGATGGAGCTGTGGTTACTTTCCCTTAAGTCACATTTATTTCTGTGGATCTGCTGTACATAGAACTGAGCCTGGCACCCTCTCTAAACTCCCAGAAAAACATGCATCTGTGCAGTATCTTAAAAATAGGTACAATTTATCATTTGTTTCAGTCCAAGCACACAAACACCTACCTAATTTCCTTCAGGTATGTCATTGAGGCATGCAAGCTGGATGCTAAAATAAATGATCATTGTACTCTCTGTTAGTAGAGAGAAAGCAGATTGACTTAGCTTTCGTTTTTGTCATAACGAAGAAGTTAGCAGGCTGCTGGGCACAAACATGCTGACCGAATGAATGGTTGTTGTTGTTAACAAGAATATGTACATATTCCTCCAATATGGAATACTATTCCATGGCTCTTAGGCTCTGGATCGCTCTACAGAGAAACGATTAAACTGGGAATTCGATGGAAACAAAAGCCTGCCTGCAGAAATGGAAAGCCGCGTTATGCAAAATGTGCCGAAGCGCAGCTCCTCGTGGAGGGGACTGGGCGCCCAGCGACACAAATTTCAGTTCCAAATATTACAATCGATCCGCGGCGTTTGACGTCAGCTTCCATCCTTCTTGCCCTACGATGGGTAGGAGCCCTTGCAAAATGGGCACAGGGTTTGTAGACCTTGGCCGGGCTGGTCAATGTTTCTAATTCCCCCGCTGCAGCAATAGTACCCAACTGCAAACGTGCTCCTTTGAAGATCGCGAATTAATGAATATGTGCAGCTGGAGCAGGAGTATTTTATTTATTAGGCGAGAAGGCCGGGCGCCCCACCGCCCACCCTGGCCTTGCAAGTCAGAAAGCGAGCCGCCGGAGCCCGCTCTTTGGGGCCTCCATCACGGACCGGCGCATCTGCCGAGCCCGAGCGAGCCTTCTCAGGCGCGGCTTTTCCCTCCCCCCTCGCCTGAATATCTCGCAGCGCACGGCTGAAAACCGTATTCCATCTCCGGCCCTGCAAGCCGAATTATCTCGGGGGCGGGGGAGAGAAAAGCCCCGCGGATCCCGGCACCTGGGAGCGCCTTGGCGCATCGGCCGCTCGCTCCCGCAGCCCTGCCTGCGCCCTGCCCTCAGCGGGCAGCCTGGCTGCGCTCGGTCCGGCCTCCGGGCGGACCCCACTCTTCGCTCCCCGTCAGCCCTCCCCGAGCGCGCCCCGGGCCGCGTTCCTGTTCACGCGTCTGCTCGGAAGTCGATCCCATTGCAAGCCTCCAAGGCAGCGCGTTTAGGATCCCAGCCCGAGGACGCAGCCTCCGCGGATTTCACAAAGCGCGATCCAGACTCCAAGCAAGCGGGGCGCGCCGGCCGAGTCGCGCAAGCCGCCTCGTCCCCCGAGCTGCTCTCAACCTGGCCGGGTTTGGAGGCGCAGCTGCTTTGCAAAGGCAGCCCAAAACCGTGGCAGACAAATCGACGGATCGATACGTTAATTAACAGTGGGCACGTTCTGAGGGTCTCCTTGTCCACGTCCCTCCCTCACTTGTGTGCGCGTGCATGTGCAGATCTGCGCGGTGTGTGTAAAGACAAAACAGCCCGGAGCGCTTACATTTTGGGAACGGTGCTGTGTGAGGTATGATAAACAGAGACAGCCCATTTCATCGTGCCTTCCCTTCTTTAGGCGGTGTAATTCCCCCCAAGTCGAGACTAGCGGCTGAGGAGCGAGATCCGGGAGAAAAACCCCGAGAAAACAAGAGCAAGTTCGTTTAAAAAGCGGAGGAGGGGGTGACCCTCCCTTCTCTTTACTCACCATTTGCTTTTCATTGGTGAAAATGACTGGAGCCATTTTGTGGCCTGTTCATGGCGGGTGGATATATTTTTTTCCCGCCTCCCTTTACTGTAAAAAAAAGAAGAAGAAAGTGTTGGTGGCTTCGTAGCGCCGGGATCTCATTCCCACATCACGTCTAGTTTCCTATTTAGTATGGAGAGCGGAACACTGGAGCAATGTGGCCGAGAGAGATAAGGCTCTGGCAGTGGCCCGCCTGCCCTGATAAGCCCCTAAACCCATTATTTATGAAATGATTCATTATTATTTGGCAATTTTATCGAAGGAAAGCAGAAAATTATTGCAGGGATATGCAGAGAGAGGAACCTTGGAATGCATGCCTTATAGCTTTTCAGACTTGTGTGTGCGCGCACTCAGATGCGCTTTAAAAAGAGAGAGGAGAGACTGCGAAGGGGGGCGGTAATCAAATATTCACTGGGACTGCCCACATTTGAATAACGATTCTTTATTTTAGCTTTCTTGGAGGTTATTATGCTCCTCTGCGTGTTCCAGCTACCCCCTCCTTTAAATATGGAACACCTACTCGGCTCTTAATTAAATTTAATGAGCCAACTTAAAATGGATCGAGATATGGAAAGGGGGGGTACGGGTGGGGGAGTTGTGTGGGCAAAACTCAAAGGCTGGGGTGGGGGCCATCTGGTACAATTTGGTAAACAAAGGAAATTGATATTGAAAATCCTTCCGGCTCACCGCCACCAACAAAAATTATTCATCATAGGCATACATCGTTAACATTTGCTGCTTTAATTTGATCTCCGGGAACAAGACTGGGGAAAGAGAGGGTATTTAGGAACAAAACCTTATCAGGGAGTAGAATTACCGTTTTAAATCATGGAGAATGCATGTTAACCTTTGCACGAGACGGAGATAGCCTAAACGTGCATGTGGGAACTGTCAAGCAGCTTTACTGGGGAAGGATTTTCCATCAAGAAGCAAGGTGCCACGCAGAGCTTACTGGCTTCGTGGTTCCAAGATCATGCGGAGTAGGGAAGGATAGTGTCTTTCTATCCCCACCGGTCCTCCCAGATCCTGTACGTCCAGCATCCACCTGAACAGAAGCATATTACTTGGCAGGAAAGGTTATGTTTCCCAAAAACAGTTTTCTGGATTGTTTCGAGACAGTCTTGAAGGAGGCCAGGATTCTACTGGGCATCGAGGTAGTTACTGTAGCTCAACTGACTACGCAGAGTCCAAGTGGAGTAAGCGCATTTAGACCTACGGAAGTGAGTGGAAGAATCCATGCACACAAGGGAATTTCGGTGCCTTCCGGGTTAGCTCCCTTTCTCTTGTTCGATGCGTTAAGCACAGAGCTACAAAAGCTTCCTCGAAGGGTCTTCAGCAGTAATTCTAATGCTTTGAAGTGGAGGGAAACATTCCATTCAGCTCTTGTCCGCTGACGAGCCTCCTTTCTCGAAGTAAATATTCTTGTAATCAGTTCAGATACTGGGAATCGGAACACTGTCAGGAAAATAATTAGATTGCATTCCACTTGTGAGTTAATCTCTATTTGGACTGCACAACCCATTGATCTGGTCCGGAAATGAGTGCTAGAAAGATTTTTCCATGATGTGTCTTTGAGATCATGGTACATGTTTATTACATTTTCATTTCGCCTGTCTTTCTTGAGAGAATTCAGTGTGGTGTGCATTGTTCTTTCTTCTCCCCACATTTGCACCCCACAACAGCCCTGGGAGGCAGACTAAGCTGAGAGATCCTGATTGACCCACATTCTACCCAGTGAGCTTTGAACGAACTCTTCCTGGTCCTCCAGCTGCCAGCTGTGCTGTAATCCAACGTATTTGGAGGGCAGCACCGTCCAAAGACAAATCTAATGCAAATATGAATGCATTTAATGTAAATGCAAATCTAACCAGATTTATGTGTGCTTTGCATGGCCTGTGTAAGGCAGGCACATTAAACCCAAGCACAGCACCTATTATGAAATAACATGTTGATGAAATTATAAACACCCTTCTTATGATGTGCCCTGTAATACGGATGTATTCTTTTGGTCTCACAACAACCCTGAACAAGGAAAATATAGGCCACTGCTACAGAAGAGGAGCTAGGATTAGATCAGTGGTATGACTGAATGGTTGCAGGTACATATGGAGAACTGCAGGGTTTTTCTGTCTAAACTTGCTGTTCCTTCTTAAAACATATTTGAGAGTTATTGGTCTACATGAAGCGATTATGGATGTGCAGCCAGAAGGAAGTTGTACCAAGACAGATGGGCTGCTGTTATATCTTTTGTGGTACTTGCTGAAGAATGCAACTTTTCATAATTCCAATAATCTTCCCGTTGTTCAAATAGGCAGAATATTCACTAACCATTGTTAAAGAGGTCTGTGCCATACATCCTGGTTCTGCCCTCACAATCAATAGCCATCCTGTGATGTTTTCTGGGTGACTTTATGCTAGTCATTCACTCTCAGCCTAACCTATTCCACAGGGTTGTTGTTGCTGTGAAAATGGAGTGGAGTGGAGGACTATGTCAGGCAACCTGGGTTCCTCACAAGTGGAAAAGGGGTGGGCTATAAATGCAATGCAATAATAATTTTAATTAAGTAGCCCAAATTAAAATCCCTACCTTACTAGTACCTTAACCACTAATTAATAGGAACATTCACCACCACCATTTGACCTTTAACAATAAATTTCTCCTTTCTATATAGTGCAAGTCAGTGTGTTGTAATCCTTTAAATGATAGCTATATGCTAAGCTTGGATCCTTTGTTTGCTGCTAAATGTGCCAGTGATCCTAGAACTAAGGTCCCCAAATTGTTTCTACAGCTAATACTTCTCAGCCAGAATTATAGAAGTGCTTGGATTGACAACAGAATTTCTCTCTCACCGCCCCACTCATTCTCATGATCCATAGCAGTTAATACCTAGTAGTTGTCTCTAGGACCTTTCCAAAGTTGTAATCCAAAACTTGCTTACTGCCCTGTTAAATGAATAATTGAAATCAAGGGGATTTTCTTCAAAATATGAAGATTGGGATTACTATTATTATTCCACTCCATGTTATCTTCATACCACCACTGGTAATTAGGTTAGGATGAAAGTGAGCAACTGGCCAGGTCTCCTGGGTTCCTGGTTGACCACACCGGCTCTCAGTGACAGAGTCCAATCCTAAACACATTTGCTACAGTAGTAAATTGAAGTAGGAATTCAGTCCAAATGCAAGTAAAAAGGATTTAGAAAGTGTCCAGAGTAGTTCTGGAGCAACACGTGGTTTCTACTCGTTGACTGGAGAGAGACAAAAAGAGCATTAAACGTGGAAATCAGTCGATCAAAACAAACATTGCAGAAAACTGCATTGCATCATGACTCATGCAAAAGCAGATGGCCGGATCGATCAGCAGATTAAGCTCAGTTCCTTTTAACAGAGCTTAGCTGAGCAGAGGATTTCCTTATGGCTTGACCACCTGACATTTCTAAACACATCTGTCTTTGTCCAGGTATGATCTGAGGAAAGGAGCAGTGCCTTTCGATGCAGATACAGCGTTCCACCAGGAGCATGTCACGAAGCTCCTGGAAACTAGATATGTGAGCTCAAGAGCAGTCACGACTGTCCACCCAGGAGTCAAGTTAAATCCAGGAAACACGAACACCACTTCCTTTAGCCAGAACAGGCAGGAAATGGGAAAGACAGAGCCAGTCTGCCTGGGAGGCGCCTGACTAAAATGCACACATCCCCCTTTGATACAGTTTTAAAACTGAGCTGCACTGCGGGGCAGGATTCACATTTGGGAAGGAGCTAGTGCTCAGAGCATGTGCTGAGTGCTCCCTGAAGCACCTACAGTGAACTCACACATCTGGAGTTAAGACTTTTAGTATGACATGATTAACTCAAGCCCATTATTTGCAGTTATATAGAATACACACGCAGATCACCAATGATTTATGACTGGCCCTGTATGAAAAATACCACAGCTCCAAGCACCAACTATTAGACTGTGTGGTCATCAGCATATCTTTCCAAAATGCAAGGGGAAAAAGAAAACAGATTGATCAGCATAATTCTAAGGTTAATTGGTGGTTAAACACTGGATGTCTTTTATGCTAATCAAGGTTGTTAGCTTAACAGGAGCTTCAGTTCTGATAGCATTGTTCAAAAAATTAGAGATTGCTTTGATATTAAGTGTGGGATGGGAGAGAAGAGTGGGCAACAGAAGAGAGCAGGATGTAAAGGAACCGGGAGTATTTTGTGGTACAACTTCCATAAGAGTATACCACGTCCCTCAGCCATAGTCAGCTATTGATACCATTACTTCTATTCTACAAGTTGTTGAATGCACAGCATTCCAATAGCAGTTCCAGAAAATGAGGGGTGGCTTTCAGCTGTCTACTGGCTACCCATTTTTCACTGTAAAGAAACTGGTTTTCGAGTTCTTCAAGGTGCACTCACACAGAATACTATGAATTCAACCCTGCACTTTCTAGGTTTGCTAAACAAAACATGCCCAGATCAGGAAGCTTTAGAACTTGCTATACTATAGTCACATAGCTGAGAAGTCCCATTGAGTTCAACTGGGATTAATTCTGAATAGACACATATAGGATTGATTGCACTTTTACAGATTAATTTGCTGATGACACCAAATTAAGGGTGTGCAAATCAAAAAGGGATTGCAAATAAAACAGCATCACTAAGTTCGACCATTTGCTAGCCCTCTATAACATATACATCCCAAAGCGATCATACTCCTTACTCTAATTGCAACTTTTTGCAAGGTAATAAATGATTAAAATTACTGTATATCAGTCATAAGCAATGCTGTTAGTATTTTATGTCCCTGCTACAAATATTATAAAACAAGTCTGCATTTCCCTGACTTTGCAAGTACATTTTTTTCTGTTTTTTTCTTCCCCACAAATCTGAATGTTTGCAGGAATGGATTGTTGCAGGCCATTGCTCCCATTCAGTAACTTTACTGAAAGTATTGCATCTACATTCATGTATGCTTAAATTCAGCAAATATCAAGTTTCAAAACTTGCTTAACTTTATCTTAAACTGTGAATAATGTATTTTACAACACTTAACTATCTTTGCTACCTGAATCTCTACGTTTTTCTAGTTATTTACCTCAACAAAAATAATTACAACTAATTCAGTATCAGTCTTTATAAGATTAAAACTCATTAAGTAGTTTGCTTATGATGAATTTCTCAAATTAACATCTAACTTAGGAATTTCTACCCTAATTAATCAGAGATTTGTATATACAAATTCATATAAAGATATCCAGTTATTTATAATATTGGCATTACTCATTATATAGTAAAAGATTAAGTCATACAGGATGAATATGCCTGTTTTCTGTGTTTTCCTTTCTCTCTTTAGAAAATTATTTGCTAGGTTTGTATAGTTCAGGAATTGTATAGTTCGCTTTCAGTGAGGAAGGGGAGAGATGCTGGCAGAACACCCATTATAGCTACTGTATTGCTGTAGCCATGGTGAGAAGTATGTGGAGATAGATTCTTCTTCTTCCTCCCATTGACTACAATAAGAGGAAATTATGCCAACATCAGAGCTGGTATTGTGTTGGGTTGCTCCTGTCAAGAAATGAATGCTACTCCAACAAACCCTGTTTCATCTTACTCTCCTAGAATTTTCCACCTGTGAAGAACAGCATTTATCATGCTACCAGCATAGCTTGCTTGCTGCTGGCACAGCAACACTTTCACTGTAGGTGCTTCCAATAATTGCTGGCCTTCCAATAATTCTAGTATCACTTCCCAATGGGCAAAATGTTATATAGTAAAAATTGCAATATATGCCAGCATGTGACAATCAGCCATGCTGACAGAAAAATGCTGGAAGCTGCAGGTCTTTATTGCAAACATGTACAAGATTGCCCACTGAAAGAACTTGATCTTCTTCATGATGATCTAATGAACACGATGAACTTAAACCATTTTGATATCACACAGTTTACACAAATAACTGAAATACAAATTAAATCAGGTTTAATTGCATTCTTAGAAACCCTGAGTTTATGAGTTTGCATATTAAAAGAACAGTAGCACATATTGTTTAGACACTCACAGTGTTAAAACAGTCCAGCAATTTATGGAATATTTGTTCCTTATATTTTTGACAAAAGTCAGAAACACATGATAACAGCGACATTTGTCATCCTTGTTTTGTTTCATAATCATATTTGTTGCAAGGAACCGGGCAAAATATCATTTCAGATTATAAGACTTAGGAATGAAGTGCAATGCCCAAAAAAGGACACAGTTATAGGTTCAGTAACAAAATCAGCCTTTTCTTAAGCTGCCATCTGCTTCTGCACTGATGGAGTTTATCCCACTCCCCACATGTACTTTATTAAATCGAAGAGACAACATCCATTAAAAAGAAATACAGTGTACATTATAATCACTGACCTTCTGGAAAGTAGAGACACTTGAAGTGTGTGAAAGGTGCAAACATTATATGCCAGGCCATCACACTAGGCAATGAACCTCCCCCACCCATTTACTACCAAACAGTTTTTAAGGACAGTAGTTTCTTTCAGTCCTATTGAACTATGAAAAGATGGGTTCAATTGGCACTAAGAAGTCCTCCAAAGAGCTGGCTGCCAAACTGACACAGGTTAGAGTAACTTTGGTAACTGTCTGAGTTGCTGTACATCAAGGAAAGTACCCACTGAATTCATGTTGTTTCCTTGGTTTAAATGGTCAGCGATGGGATGTTGCACAGTTTCATGTATCATTTGAACATCCAGATTCTCTTTGTCAGGATGCTGTGTGAACTCTGCTTTTCCATATAGAAGTTTCATTTTTGGGTTTAAAGAGAGATGTGAACTTTCAGTTGACTGATGCAGGATTCTTGGTGGAAGGACTGTATTTGTAACATTTCTTAATATAGGGCTCTCTGAATGTGGCAAACAGCCATTAGATAGTTCATTTTCACTCTGTACAGTATTATATGGAAACTGCCTCTCACCATCCATTTCAGAAGGTCCTTTCCAGCAAGTAAAGCCCTCTAAAACAGGGCTTAAATCCAGCTGTAGAACAGGTTCTACATCTTCTTCTCCCTTGCAGACATCAGTTTGCTGTTCATCATCGTTACTACCATCACTGCTTTGTAAGAGCCCGTACCTCCTCATGTACTTCTTGGTAGCAAAAGACATATTGCTTGGGGAAATTAAACCAAAGCCTACCAAAGTCTTGTCTGTGTTGGTTTGCAGAAGAGTCTGTACAGATGAAGCCATGGAATTCTTTTGGCTTGAATGACTCAGAGACAGCTGTGATAGTTGGCTTTCACTTAGATATTTGAGGGCAATAGCATTTGCTTCCATACTCAGATCTACTCCATTGGGAGTTAAGCCACTCATTCCAACATTAGCAAAAGAAATGTAGTTTAGCCCTGGGACAACTGCTTCAGGATTAATACATGCCATTATACTAAAAGAAATAGAAAAAAAATCATTATTTTAACTGTATGGAAATAGAAACACAGACTGCAATTCATTTCACCTACCTGTCAGGTCATAAAAGGGCAAGAACCACCCCCATAACATGTTGCCTGTTAGGCTGCTCAGAGCTTTTGATGGCAAGTTCCATCCTAAGGGCCTGAACATGTGCCTTTGAGGGAAGAAACAGGGCTATGTGGGGAAATCTGTGCCCCCACACCAATTAGTACAGTGGTGGGTAGAGGAAGATATGGAGTTGGGTGGAAAGCTAGTCAGGTAAAGGGAACACATTCCAGGCAGTTAACAGCTGTACTGTGTTCTGATTCTCCTCACATCCAAATGTGTGATGGTTGCCCTATCAGTTGCAGGTCTCTGGAATATGGTTTTGAATGCCAGATCAGTCCAAAAAAAGACCTTCTTTATCCATGATTTAATAGTGGATGAAGCAGATGATCTGACAAACATCAGCAATAGCTAGGTGGGCAATAGGGAGGAGTTATGCCCAATGGGGCACTTGGCTCAAGGAAGACCTGAGGGCCAGGGAGGGAGCACTGTTGTGGCATATAGGAATTCTCTGTCTCCGGGCTCCCTGTCCATCTACTACTAGTCTGGAGTAGTTTGCATCAGGTAAGTGGGGCAGGTTAGTGATTCTATTAGTATACCACCCACCCCAATTCTCAAAAGACTTTATCTAAGCTAATAGAGGTGGCATTGGTTGTAATGTTGAAACTTCCAGTGTCAAGAACACCTTAACTAGGGTAGCCCAGGATTTCATGGACACCCATGACAACCATGGCAGTGTCCAACATGTTATCAGCCCAATACAAGTAGCAGGACACTGTCTGGATTTGTTTTATTCAGTTAGGCATGGTGATAAGCAATTTGAAAGTAGGAGACTTCAAATCAGACTATTTGTCATGGTCTGATCACAGCCTGTTGAGATTTAGTCTTACAGCAACTTTTCCCCTTTGCAAGAATGCAGAGCTTATTAAAATCATGCAGCCCTGAAGGCCAATCAAGCTGGATAGTTTCCAGAGGGCAACTGGGGATTTTCCAACTAGATTTTTTTTGGAAAAAAAACCCAAATCCCTGCTTGATCCCTGGAATATAAAAATGCCTTAGGCAGCTGACACGATCACTCTTGAGCTCATAGTATAGCTTGTGTGACCCCATGGTTTATGCTGGCGCTAAAAGCAATGAAGCAATATAGGAAATGGCTTGACTACAGATGGAGAAAAACTCCTAAACTGAGCCCTGCTAAATGCTTAGGTTAAGCTTTATCTAGGGCCACTGAGGGGAGTGAAGAAACAACATTGCCTCTGTCCAATCCTGTGCCACCCAGTGGAATTCTTCAGGGTTACCCATGGCCTATTACATGCTGGAGTCAAAGATATCTTAGACCTGTCTCTAATATATTTGTGACACACATTCAGGATAAAATCTCTTGCATCTGCCAGAACTTCAATTTTGCAGCAGCTGAATCTGGCAAGGTTCCCAGAGCACCAATTTTCTTGAATGAGTTTCAATTGGTATAGCTTGAGGATGCTAACAAGGTGTTTGGAATGGTTCATGTAGCCACATTCATACTGGATCCTTGCCCCTCTTGGATTGTGAAAGCTAGCTGGGGGAATCTTGTATCTCTTTATGAGAGAACAGTCTCACACTGTCTTAAAGATGCAGTGGTGAGGTCGCTCCTGAAGAAGCCCTCTCTGGAACCAGAGGACCCAAATAACTTTTGGCTGGTGGCAAATGTTCCCTTCCTGCGCAAGGTCCTTCAACAGATGGTATATAACCAGCATCAAGCATTCTTGAAGAAGACTGATAATCTAGATCCATTTTAGTTTGGGCTTAAGCCAAATTTTCATTCAATAATAGCTTTGGTAAGTTTGTACTAAATCCTGTACTAATTCTAAGCAGCTTCGGATATCAGTATGATGGTATTCTTCTGGAGTGACTGTCTGGATTGGGAGTGGGGTATACTGTATTGCAGGGGTTCCATTCCAACTTGGATGGCTGACTCCACAAGGTTGTGCTTAGCAAATACTTCTCAGACTCATATACTCTACAGTATGGGGTTTCTCAGTTTGTCAATTTTGTCCTCAATGCTATTCAACATGTCATATATTCAGGAAGAATATATGGTATGACTATACACTATACTTTTCTTAACAGCAAACCTTTCTGTCAGAGCTTGGGGAAGAGAATTTTGTTTGGATGACAAGGAAACCTATCTGTAAGAATATGTGAAAGATATATACCTCTTTAATGATGTGAGTCATTTTCACTGGGAATAAGTGAGACAGATATAACAACAATCCATAAAAGAGAATCAAAGGGCAGGAAAAGGTAGCATTATGTTTGTCTCATTTGTATTTTACCCTACTCTCCAAAGGATCTTAGGGAGATTTAAAGTTGTCAAATAAGGCACCGGAAACCTTAAGTTCTATCCTATAGTAGTTTATAACAAGCTTGTGAACACCACCATTCCGGTGACATGCATGCATCACTATGAGAACTGTGGGCTATTTGAAAGTGGTCTGCTCCTTGGTTTGATCTACCAGTTTATCTACTAATGTCTTATTAGTACATGTGCAGATGAATGGATAGGAGTGTTTTTTTCCATGCATCTTTAACAGTTCATTTTACAAGAAAACTGTCAAGTCATGTGCAGCAGAACATGAATTGCCCTTGTGACAATTGTAGGAGTACTCTCTGTTCATTCTACACTACATAATCTTTTTTTATGAAACTTGACTAGGTTACCCCAACTCACTAATTCCTTTCCCCTAAAGCTGTAAAGTTGAACCTCCAATCAACCATTTTAGATGCCCTTTTGTAGTTTTCTTCAGTTATGATGAAACTATCTTTAGGAAAGAAAGGCTGAAGTGTACACAGCTCAGAATAAATGAATAACAGCCAATTAGAGAGTATTCTAGCTTCTGTGACATTTTTCTTCTTAGATTGTTAGAGCAAGGCTATTTTTCCCAGTTACCTGGCATTCTCTACTTTGTGTGTACTATTCATCTTGTCTGTAGAGTCAAGATTAATTCCAAGTTTTCTTAATTGCTTCAACGTTGCAGTCAGAACACTATCATTATCTCTCAGAACTGGATCAGGCACTAAACATCTCTCTGTCTTGCAGGTTTTTGAAGATGCAGGACATTCACTGTTGATCAGCTCCTTTTTTATTGGGAAACTGTGTTCTTCAGAAGATTCTTTTAGGAAGTGGTTTACTTGGCCCTGCAGAAACGTAGAAAGGAAGATACAGAAAACAGCAAGTGAAAAGCTAATTTTAGTAAAGTTACACATTGTTGTATTTACATTTATAGTCTGCCTTTTTTCCCTCTTGAATAGAACCCAAGGCGGCTTACATAACTCCATTTTATCCTTACAGCAGCAACCCTGTGAGGTAGGTTGTGTTGAGATTCTGTGACTGGCACAAAGTCACCCAGTGAGCTTCATGCCAAATGGGGACTAGAACCCAAATCTTCCAGGTCCCCATAACCACCACACCAACTCTCTACACACATATAATAGACCAGTGCATATTGACAATATATTAAATGTTCTCAGATCCTGAATTTAGAGGTACATTAAGTGCACTATTTACACTTGATAGTAACATAAATTTAACTTCTTCTATTCAGTGGTTAAGATGGCTTTATTAAATGGTTAACAGTTGGCTATTAACTTTGTTAATGGCTTTGCTTGCTTTGAATAATAAATCTTATTATTGAATCTACAAACTTTCCTTGATTCAGAGAAAAAAACATTACACCAGGAACTCATAGGGATAAAGTCTGGAAGCTTTTAATTTGCAATTTTAGATATTCAATGCAATCCAGAATCACTTACTGTGCCACATACTTTATTAAAAGGACACACCTAACATATGCCACACCAACCCCTGACCCCCCTCCCCCCAATTCTGGAAAATCAAGTCAGCAATGCTTCTTCATGATTTAAATGAAAAATATGGAGACTGATACAAGAATAAGTTGGACAACACACACTTGACACAGATCAAGCAATTGCCTCAGAAAAGAAGGTGGTTTCTCCACTAATCCTGTTAGAGTTGATTTGAGTGATAATATTAAAGTGAAAAGTCAGCTACAAGAACTTACCAATATATCCTTGTAAAATTTCTGATCATCTGTTGGGACATTTGGCAGGGAAGGAATGACATGTTCTACATTTTGTTCATTAATTGCTACCACATGATGGCCAGTTTCCCCTGACAGCCTGGTTTGTAAGCACATGCTAACACTTTCACTCAGCGGTGAAGGCTGAGGCATCTCTTTGGTAACTGGTGCACTGCAAGAAAGAAAGAACAGCAAATGATAGACAATTCTAATGACCATGTTCAGTGATCAGTGATTTCTGACTTTGGGTCAGAAGATGCTACATATTAAGTTAGGCATCTTGTGTTTAATTTTGAACCATGATTAACATGAAAAACTTGCTCATTATGAAAGCAAATCTTGGTTTCAAGATTTGTTTACCTGATATTTTCTTTTTACCTTCATTTCCACAGAGATAAAAGCTCTCTGTAAAACTGCATGATTCACCCACACAACCTATTATATCTAAATAGGTTTATAAATTCTTCTAGCATAGAATTAGAATTAGGACTTATTTAGATAATCATTACGGGAGAAACTTGTATCTGATTATTTTGGAAGATTTGAAAAATTTGATTCAAAGTTCATACAATTATTTGTTCTACATAAAAGGGCTTGAGGAGATACAGACTTGTTTTTGTTCACTGTCTCCTTCCATCTTAACTAGTACACAAAATGGACTGTTTGATTGGAAGTGGGAAGTGACATCAAAGCAAAACTGGCAAACTTTTTGCCAACTAGTTGTAGTAGGAGTAGTTGCAGCCCACTATTTGTTAAACTTTCTGTTGTTATAAATTAAGTGAAAGGGAGTGAGCATGTTGGCTTCTAGCTGCTCACCCTTGACAAGCTAAATATCCCAGGGATACACTGTTTCTGAACTGCTGTCTATTACATCCACACCCAAAATGTGCATGCTCCTCCTACAAGGACACATAATTCTAAATTCTTACATGATGAACAGGAATGCAAGAGTGGCACACTTCTAGGTTGTTTAGCTCAGTAGAAGCAGGTAGGCAGGAATTAATGTAGTCACTTGCTCCTGCTTGTTCATGGCTACCCAGGGTTTAAACCCTGGGTAATTATGACTTACGAAATTGGTCAAAGTCTGATAAGTTACTATTGAAAAGAACATAAAATAGTTTTCCAGCAATAAAACTTTAGACTATCTAGTACTGGCTACCTTGCAAATTTCCCTCTTCACAGTTTTTTTGCTGGTGTTAAGGTTAGAAAATAGAACAGTTGACAACAATTGCATGCAAAAGGAATCTGTAATGAATGTTCAGCCATATTGTACACCCAAAGTTGTACTGACCTCACTAGAGGGAAACAACAACAGCAATATATTGTTGTTAAGTGCTGAAAAGACTTTAACTTTACCAAAATACAAGCACACAAATAATCCATGCAATAAAATGTGCTAGAACTGAACATTTACCATGCACTAACCTGACTGTGTCAACCTATTCTTATTTAAATAACAATTAACACATATTCACAGACATATTCACAAACATGCACAGTTTAATAACCGAGGCTAGAAATATAGTGAATTCCAAACTGTTGCATAAGTCATAAAGTGACTCCTAGAACAATAGAGGTAATAAATACTGGCACTCAAACCAATCAATCGTATGGTGAAGGAGATAAGATTTAGATCATGTACTATGCCAGTCAATCAATATAGGTTATCAATTGCTGTAGAATGGTGATTTTTCATTATCCTCAGCAAAACAACAAACTAAATATTTTAAAAGTTACTTTGACTGTTGGAACGCAGGTTACCAAGAGATGGTTTGTTTAAAACAATTAAGTTAGAAAAACTTATGTATAAGCTTTTTAAAGCTTAAGGTCCCAGAACTAGACAGAACTTTACAGTGCTGTAATAAAGCACATTCCTTTTTACAGTTCACAGAATAAACAATCCAGTCACATGGATGGGAATTGGTTATTGGAGAAATAACCAATTTAATTCAGCCAATTCATGGGGTTGATTGTGCCACAACTACCACTTAAATTTGTCAGTCAGTAACTACAGCTACTTCCATAGTCGATTGTTTATATTAATTATTTACATTGCAAGGGAAACTTATTTCTTCTGTATACATGAATTTGATTTAAAAAATGACTACATTTTTCCAATGTGTAATGGGGATGCTATCAAGTACCATCTTTCTAAACGATTTGGTTATCATGCAATGTGTTTCAAGCCAACCACCATGATAGAATCAATGATCTAGGCTCCTTACTTTGACCTTTTAAGGAAAAGTGAAAATGGGTTTTTGAAACTAAATCCCACCTATTTTTTATATTAAAAATTGAGCTCTCCAATAAAAAATGAATATTGACACAAAATCTAGGTGCATACTAAAACAATCATCCTCAAGGGTCACTGTATCCAGCAAGCACTTAAATGAATAAAACATTTATGTCGGCCTAAACTAACGGGACTGCCAATGATGATCAATTTCTTCTAGTTCAAATATATTACATTATTGACAGCACAGGATGAGAGCTGTGGAACCACAGAGCAACAGTCAAATCAAATACCAGGTTATATCTTGCAAAAGCAAGCAGCTTCCATATGATAAAAGGTATAAAAAATTGAATATTTACCAGAATCCAGCAGAGGTCGGACAAAGTGCTTCTTCAGCAACATGAAGACTATCTACAAAGCTGGGTATATCAACAGCTTTTAATGAAGAGGCAATGCTTGTTTGACTCTTGTTCTTTTCAGTGTTCATAGAAATCTCAGAAATTTCTTCATTGGAAGTTTCTGCATCATCTTCTTTCATATAGTCTTTGTTCTTTTCCAAAGGGGAATTCCAGAACAAGCTAGCACCTAAGTAGTTCAAACAGGAAGAAAGTGTTGGCTGAACTCCATTAGACTGGTGTCAGTGCATCCTGTACAAGCATAGGCCGTTCTTGTCACGGCTGTCCCTCATGTCGAAGATTACAGCAAAGCAATGGCACAGACTGCTACAATTACTAGCCAATTATTACCGTATGTTTATTGTTAAGCAGTGGGAGGGACTATGGATAGTCCTACATATTAGCTTGTGCATGCTGCACAGGGTTTTTGCTTTGTTGCAACCACTGGGCTCTAGCAGGAGCCATAAAAAACGGAGATGCCGCTATATACTGCAGCATGGTCTAAAGTTCTTCCAATTCCATTAAACATCTCTATCTAGAAACAAAAGGTTCACACTAACATGAGAAGCTGATACTGTGGCCTCCTGAAGAAAGTAATGTTAACATTAATATATTCTGCACTTTTCTGAATAAGTGTATTAGCTCCTCTACAAAATTTGCATTTTCAAACAATTAACACTCAATCCGCAGGGACACAATGATTGTACAACATGAAAATATGCCTTGATACTGTTCAGTGTGGGCACAGGACCCAAGTATGATAGCAGAATGGTCTGCCAGGATATACAAGAGAAACAAAACAGCAGGCTAGAAACAATTTTCCTTTCTCTTGCATTACTGTTGCTTCAGGGTAGGGCTTAAAATCATTACCTGTGCTTACTGCAATGCTGACACTTTTCTTCATGTGTAACCCAGGAGAAGATTGTGTTTCCATAGCAACAAATTCTAGTTGCTTCTCAGACTGTACACTACTGTTTGCTATGGTCTTAGTGGAACAGGGTTGAAGAGTCTGTGCTTCTAAAAGCCGCTGGATCTATAACCATGTAAGATCAGTGTTAATTGTACAGCCAAGATAACAAAACTGAGAAAATAGTACAGTAAATATCACTTGTCAATTCATCTCTTATGCATGTACAGCTATTCTTTCCTTAAAGCAACATTTTAAAGCACCTTAAGATAACAATTTAATACAGGAAATTGTACAACAGCAAAAAAATGTTGCTACTGAAACTGTAAATCTCATTTTTTAAAATCCGGTTGGTTTTTGGCTTCTGGACTGATCTTAATTCCAAACAAGTTAATAGATCATTAAATTGACTAGTAAACATACCAGTATTAGCCATTCTAAAATCATATAATTATTACATTAAGTATTTGTAAAGGATGGTCCTACTAATTCAGTACTTGCCTCTGAGGAAACCAAACTTAAGCAGAGGAACAATGTTCTGTTATAGTAATATCATATTGGCTGGCATATTATTTTCCAGTAATTAAGCTAAATATAAAGTATATTGAGTGATAGAATTAACCCAACAAACCTGAGCTTGCAGCAGCTTGATCTGTCTGTCTTGTTCAGAAAGAATTCTATAAACATCTGATGATAATCCCATAACTTCATTATCTGATACCATTTTTTGTGCAGTAGTATGCATGCATCCTGAATACACTGCATGGGACTGTGTACTACCAGAGTCAACAGTGGAAGGATTCTTTACTATAGCTGATACGTTATCACCAAAGGGAGAATTTCCCATTATTCCATGATGGCCTAAGTTTGTGTGGCAATTTTTGGCACATACTGGATTGCAGCCAGTATTTGTACATTCTATACTTTGACAGATTAATTGTGTACTCTCTTGGGCACTGCCTGACTGGATTTCAGGTCTATGACTAGAACTTGTTTTATGCAGCCCTTGCCAAATATTTGTTGGACTGTACTGCATGTGGCCACATAGCTGACAGTTGCAGACACAGGAAGGACAGCAAAGTGGACCTTGAACTGGTATCCGAAAATCCACTGGTGGCCTTATATGTTGAGGTGACAACGCACAGCTATGCCAGAGATGCTGTGAAGCTATTGGAGTATTAGATGATGAGGTTGCAGCGATAGGAAATTTTCCATTCCTTTCCATAGCATCATCACTTGCCAAGTGTCTTTCAGAAGGTATTCCAAGTTGATGAGATGAAGTGTTGGGTGAGGAACCACTACAAGGTGTTGAAGAAGAGGAAGAAGAGGAAGATCCAAAACTCTTTCTTTGAGACTCAACTCCACCAGCCTGCTCTTGAGGTGGTGACTGCATTCCTTTGTAAGATTTTAAAACTGGATTTTTCTGCTTTAATTGGCCAGGCAATTGCCTTGGAGAAGGTTTCTTGGAACATGAACCAAAAATTTGCTTCCCATTATCAGAACTCTGAAGTTGGCACGGTGGATGCTCTGTGGGACTTGTTATATTACCAGGTTGATGTCCAAATGAAAGCTGCTTTTTTGTTTGCATGATCATTCCATGTTTGGACCTTGGTATAGATTCTGCAGTTACACCATCAAATACAACTGACAATTCAGGGACTGAAGGCTGGATCTTAGTCATCTGGAAACCAGGACAATACAAGCTTACAATATTGTGATTACTGAAGATAAAAACATTCATGTAAACAATTTAATCTGAAAGGTTCTCACCCTTTTCACCTCAGTAATTTTTGTCTAACAGATTTCCCTACACTAAAAATACAAATGAGTGGAAAACAAACCATAAAGCAAAGCATAAGCCACAACCCACTCTTAAAGGAGACCTCAAATAGCCTTTCCAAAATCCTCAATAAAGTATCCTTCTGCTGTACTACTGCAGAATACACTATCGCCAGTGTACATATGTCTCACAGCAAAATTTAATGAGCAGAGCTGCTGTCTACATTCAGAAACTTGTCATTTGTTTTTTCTTTAGCTTAGTAAGTAGGAAAACTGAAGATAAAAATATTCAACATGATCTCAATTCCTACTAAACAAAATCAAATATTTGGGCTATGGGTCAGCAGAGTCAATTATTCTTCCATGTTCAAAGAATACAGCTTCTTTTAAAAGTTAATCTGATATATTTGTGGCAATAAAGGGTTAAATAGCACTGTAGTACAACCTAGTGGCAAGACTATGGCATAGCACTAGCTTGATACTAATGCTGAATCTGGGCCAAAAACACAGCAAGAAAATTTTCTTGACCCTTGAAGGTAATCAAAGAAGAGATCTAGAAGTTACCTGTTGACTCACTGGAAGAGGATGGGGAAATGGCCGCGGGGATGCATCATCTTCCACACCAGAATCATGATCACTGACAGATAGTTTACTTGGAGAAGAACCTTGAGTTGGGCTAAAAATATTTCAATATTTGTATTTCTTGTAAAATATAACTCACCAGAAAATGCCCTGAAATATTAAGTTTCGCACTCCAGCTACATTTAGAAGAATAAATACTACAAATACCCAGAGAATCTATAGGATTTCAGTCCTATGTACAATACTGCATTTTACAACATAACTGGTTTTCAATACAGTCTTGGAACAAGTAATGTTTTATGGAAATATGCACCCTTTACAGAAATACGAGTAGCTACTGGAAGGCAGCCTATATAATTTGGTTCTGAACTACAATTATTTGTAAGCAAACTAAACAAAATGCAATGGCCTTATTATATATAAATAAAAGAATTAAGGTTTCTGGTGGCTGCTTTTAATGTGTGCATTTTTGTTTGACTAGTGCAACTAAGAGAAATGTCAAATGGAAAAGCATTTTCCCCTAATGCAGTATTTGGCAGTCTTCATATTTCAATATGGTAAACTAAGCTGTTTAGCTAATTTCACTAGGAAGCAATATTTACAGGATGTCCACATCCACACATATCACATGAGTTTCTTGTTTGGTTAAGTTCAGGCTGCCTATTGTGTGTCAGGCAAGAACAATTACAGAAATCCTACTTGTTTACCTCCTGCTATGTTCTATGTACTTACGTTTATACTAGGAAGGTTAACTATTAACAATTCTTACTGAAAATCTGTACATCCTTTCTGTAGAAAGTGCAGAATTGCATACTGGCAGACATATAGGACAGATTATATGCATAAGTGTTTGAAATATGCCTCACCTGCTAAATGAAATCTTTTTTAAAATTTGGCTGAAGAACTCCATTTCTGAATTTTTATTGTCTGAATTCAGCTCAAACTGAACAGCATATCTATCTGAAGGCTCCACATTCTGAAATGAGGTAGATGCAGTTAGTAATCTCTATTTTAACCATTTTCACACAATTTTCTTTCCTTCTCACCCCAAACACTTCATAAGAAACCCTAAACAAGCCAAAATAGTGTCAAAATATTTTTACATCTTAGGAGCCTTTTCTGATGTAGAAGATTCATGACTGCTACATTGTGAATATACCTAACAACTGAAGATTGCCACATTATTTGTTTTAAATTAATTAAGAACCTGAATGAAAAGCATGGACAGTGGCCTACATGCATACCTTTGTTTGTGTTCTTGTCCTGTAAGGCTGTTATTAAGTTATTGTATAATTAGTTTGGCACTCACTTTTATGCCATTATCCTAGTAAAGTAGCCACATATCTGTCATTTTTGCTGCAGTTAAATGCAACGGGCCTTAATTTGCCCCCTTACCAATAGCACACCTTCCACAAACCCAGTGAGGTTTTGCTCAGCAGGAACAGTAAATATTCATGTTATTTATAACGCTTAGCTGCTATGTGATGACAGATCATAAAGGTGCTAAACCAAAATTTTAAGGATAACTTTCCAATTACTCCATTTTTAGCTCACCTTCCCCTCCCTTTCAAGAAGGGTAGAGTGGCTTATGGAGTTTCTTCATCCTCACAATCACTGTGTGAGGTAGGTTAGGTTAGAAAGCATAAGATGGTCAGGACACTCAAGGGTTGCAAGGCTAAACAGGGGATTCAAACTTGCCTTTCATTGGTTTTAATCCAGTATTCAAACCACTATACCACACTGGCCCATACAGCTGCATTAACTGCTTTTACAAAATAACTGATAGCTTTGGAAAAATTCACTCAAGTATTGCATGTACAGAGCTACAGAAGAAATGCATAATACTGTATACATATGCATCCAAATCCCTTAAGTATTTAACTGACAAGAAACAACTGACCATGGCTACATTGCAATCATATATCTAACTTGATAAAGACCAGAAATAAAGCAACTTACTTTGAACCGATGTAAAGTTTCTTTGTTTGTAAGTAACTGGAAACATAATTCAGTATGTCCACCACAGGGGAGGCATTCATAAAACTCTGGATCTTTATGCTTTGATGAATAAAGGACTATAAGAAAACTGCCTGATTCTGAAAGTACCCTAAATAGGGGGAGGGGAGAATCAAAACAAAAAGAGATTCACCTGCTAATGTGATGCACTGAGTTGGAATAATAGGCTTTAAAATAGCAAATGCAGCTCAGTATAAGCTACTGTTAAGTAAGGCACATTAGGGTAAAATAAATAAATACATCCTACACCGATAGGACCTTAGCTAGCGGTGACTAATCAAGATAAATACAGAAGTTCTGGTAAATAGCTTGATGATAATGTCAGTGACTGGCTTTGCACAGCATTGCAAGCTATCATGAGTAACTAGCCAGAATGGGTCCTCATGTCATGCAGCCTGGTCTAACTCCTGTCTACAGGACAGCTCGTTTGTGGGCAGCAAGCCATCCTACAAACCCATGACTAGTTGTAGGGATTTCTGGAACCACAATTTCTGTCCTACTTTTTTCTGGCAACAACCTCAGCATGGCTTACATCATTCTCTTTCTCCTGGTCTCAGTCTTATCCCCACAACAACAACCCTATGTCATACTTTGGGCTGAGAGTTTGTAGCTGGCCCAAAGCCACCCAGTGAGCTCCATGGTTGAGCAAGGACCAAAACCCAGATTGCTTGTATCCCACTTCTGTGCTTCGGACCACTACACCACACTGGTTCTCATCAATGAGTGGTCATGTCATCTGAATTCAGGAAACTGACCCTGTCGTGATTCCAGGGGAACCCACTTGCCAACAGCAGCAGAAACTTTTGCTGTTCTTGCCTGAGTCACCACCAGCTACTCCCAACAAGTATCCAAATGGTACTTTAGAATGATTATAAATGGCTCACTCTCACCAGCTGCAATCAGAAGATATTTTGTACTTGCCATGGTTATCCCAACACAGAGACTACTTTTTATGAATTCTGAAGAGACAGATACTGACAGCACCTCCAAAGTCCCCAAGCTGCACATTGCAGGGGCTGCCAGTGATTCACCATCTTCTGAAAAATAATTTTGGTGCAAATGAATGCACGGAAATGTACCATTTTTCTGAGGTTGCACAAAAGTGCACCTCTGAATAGCTTAAATGTAAAGGCTTGCCCAAGCAATGCCCTAGTAGGTAACTCCTGTGGAAGTGCAGCAGGTTCCAGCCACAGCCACCAAACAAGAATGCCTTCAAATTGGTTATTTTTTAAATTTGTACAGCTGTCAGAGCTGTCAAGAGATAGCAAGGGATTTTCCCCTACAAAATGGGGTGGTGCCTCACCTCCCCAACTTTGTACTGATCTCCTCAGAGTTTTTAGTTTATGCCACAGGTGCCAATGTCCCCACCTTTCCCCTCACTTTTCTGCATCTCCAGCTACTCAGGAAAGCAACATTCATGAGGCTACTGGTTTCTCATTAGTACTTTTGACCCTTAAAAGATCTAAGAAGAGTTTTTGTTCTTAAAACTCTGGCAACTGTCAGCCATTCTTTGACGGGGATTTTTTTTTGGCTCCTTCTTAGATGGTAGACTAGCATTGTTTGAAAACGTGGCTTTTCTAGCTGACATTTTGCCTGACAGTGGATAAAAAGGATAACTATCTCAATAAATAAAAATCCTGATGATTGAATAGTAAGAAGGACATTTTTCTTGTAACCCTCACTGTTTGAGAAAAATTCATTTTATTTATAATCACCTCTCTTGAATTGAAGAGCTGAATAAGAAGCGTAGACAACAGGTCCAGACCTGTGGATTGTAGATATGAGATATTCCACTCAACCAGCTACAGGAAAGAAAAATTAGATTTCTGAGTACTTTCATTGGCATTGATACTACAACAGGTATATCCTTATGTAGCTCAAGCATTAATACAATAACTTTTCCAGTTAATCTGAAGATGCACTATAATATATGTCTATGCTTATATTTCTTACATTTCTATATTGCCCAACAGCCAAATGCCAAGCAAATTCAAATATTGGAAGACTAGGAAATGTTCACATTAAAATACTTACATGCCAATCAGTGGCAAACTATAAGCCTTGGGGTCTGTTTCCAGAACTAGAAGTAACTTCCTGGTCTGGTCCATTGTAAGGTATCTGCAGGAAAGTAAACATTTTCTCCCTGAAGAAAAGTTGCTTGTCAACTCCAATTTGTTTGCTTTATTAATACAACAAAGCTCACCTAAGTACCTCACCCCTTAGTCTCCATCAGAGTTGGCACTTGAAGAAAGGCCCCATAAGTTGAATGCAGCGATAGGGTAGATTGTGATCAGGAGCTGCACTCCTACAGGTATTGTTCCAACTTAGAACACCGGACGTTCATTGGGGATGCTATATAAATCTTTGTAAGCATTCTTCTTACATGTACCACAGAGAAACCAATTCCCAGTACATTAGTGGGGACAAAAATGCAGCCTTTGATTTACACATCAATCCAAAGTGATTCAACTTGCCTGCATGCAAGCCATTTTTATTTCCAAAACTAATAGGACTATACATCTGAAACATGTGGGAAGAATGCCATACAAAGATTTTTGCATTATTAGTGATATGCAGATTATAGCTACTTGAAAAGCTGCTATGTAGTAGTTATAAATGTGAAAGCTGCTTCCTAAGTGGACCGCCCCATCATTTGGGGGATTTTTTAAATAAGCTACCTCTATACAATACATAGCACTAGTACAGAAAATATTCAGAGAATGGGGGCAAACCACACAGGTAGGCAGTTTCTGCACATTGCAGCCACTGCCTCAAAATTGCCACTATATGAAAGTAATTCCAGTGGCTTCCACTTGGTCTTATTCCCAAAAGTCCAACTATTTTAATTTGTCTATATAGTTTCCAGTAAACCAGTCACTGGATACAGACAGTATAATGTATAAAAACCAGAAATGGCCATTATTATATCCTGTTCTGTCTTCTTTATCACCAGAACTTCTAACAGAATTAAGAACTGCCTTTCAGTAGCCTGCAAGATCTTTGATGTATCTGAATGTCAGACCCACTGAACAAAGCATACATATCAACAATGAACCTTTAGGGTTAGCATTAACTTACCCACATTTGTAAGTTCTCTGCACCTGTGAAATGTTTATGTGACTGCTTAGGTTTCTTGCAAGGGCTGTCGGAATTATTGGAACAGGCTTCACAGGAGAGTATTTTAAAGCATTGCCTATTGTAACAGCTGCCCAATGAAAGTCAAAGTTTAGGTTATCCATATTCTCTGTTGAAGAGATATGAACTCTTAAGGTCAACATATTGGAAGGCTCCAAAGAATCTTGGCTGTTCAGATTCTGTTGCAGTTTCTAAAGAAAGAAAAGGTTACCAAAATTAGTTTAAGAGACAGATATAACATTAGCAGAGTTTGTTAAAAATAGGAGAGGCTGCTATGACTGCATTCTTTCCACGCCAGGCTTCTGTACTTCTAGCAAGTACATAAACTCAGCTGGAAAGAGCACCAAAGGCAGCAGCAGTGATAGGGCACACATTTATCCCTTCCACAATGAGTGCAGTGAAGGACAGTGGGTAGAAAAGATTAGGGGAGGGGTGGAGGAAGAAGCTGGCCTGAGGGCAAGTTTTAGGAAAAACCATTTCCAAGTCCATATTAAAAATAGAAGTAAACGCTGATATTGGTTCTTAAGGCACATACGTATAACTATTATTGTTCTGAGGCAGACTAATAAGTAGCTGCTAGACGTTAGCAGAGCAACACAATATGGAATCATTGCAGAAACTGAATAATCGTTCCAAGCTTTTTACCTTAAAAGCCAAGCTGAAATCTTCAGACCTGTGCACTATGACATCATCTGATGAAGATCCCCAGGCATTAAATGTACATGGAATCAAAAAGTCTCCAGGAAGAGGTGCCGAGGGGATTTTCCCCAAGCTACCAGTTACTTCACGACCCGGATCAAAACGGTCTATTGTTAGTGATACACCCTCATTATCTGTGCCAGAAAAAATTAAACAATTAAAGAGAATTCTGTGTTCACTAATCGAAAAGACAGTAATCTGTAACATGTATTAGTCTAAGGCTATGATTCTCACTTGAAAGGTCCCAGGTTCAAGGTCTAAAGAAACCCAGTCCAAAGGAATTTGATGAGTGTAAACTTGGGAAAAGTCATTGCTTAATGATACAACCATGTGCTCTGCATGCAGCAGTAATTTGCTGATTCAGTACACAATTCAGTTAAAAGAATCTTGGAAGAACACAACAAACGTCTCCACCTGAGGTCTTGTAGCGTACTGTCTACAGCAGTGAGGACTGTCCAACTGGGGAAATTATTGAAGCTGAATTCAGACACAAGTATCCCCACATTAAATAGTAACTTATGTACATTCCTCTGCATAGTTGTATATATGAATGCATGATGAACTGGAGAAGCCTTGAGCTAGAGTAATTTCAGTCAGTGGTATTCCATCTGATTTCCTTCCTCTTTGGCTTTGATGTATGCCACTATCCCTGCCCTCAGCAAATTTTTGCGTTGAATAGTTTTACTAGAATGGATGGGAGAAAGACTTACAATGAGGCTGTTTTCCTTGATTTGTGCCAGTGAATAATCTTTGTAAAAGTCCTTTTCCCCTTAGGAAGTACAGGACATTGCACACACCAAGTAAAACATACAAAACCGGGCTGTTTAAAATCCCCAATTTTATATTTATGAACCCTAGTTTCTTTGCATAATTCTAGATTTACTATTGAGTCGAGAGGAGTGAAGCAGTTTTTTTGCACACATTGGGTTTTGGGTTCAAACACAAGTTTGCACTTTCAAGCACAAGTTGAAAAGGAACTCAGGTAGGAGGGCTGGCAAAGTTCCATTAGACCATGAAGAGCTATTGTCAGTCAGGAGAGACAATATTGGCCTAGGTAGGCTAGCAGCCTGTCAATAAAGGCAGTTTTATATGTTCACTATCCTTTAGTATTACTTCTATCGCATTATTACTTTGAGTAAGACCATGAGGCTTACTCAGTCAGTTAGTCAAAATCAGAAGAGCTGGTCAGTGGCTTATCTGACATTCTAAGTACCTTCATCTATGGCAAGAGTTGCAACTAGAAAGCAGGAGAATGGTTTTCTTCGACTTTGCTTAGCATGACGATGGGCAAGTCTCAGTGTCTTCTCAGCCATGATCAACTTTGGGTTTCTGAAGAGACACATAATTAAAATATTAATACCTGAATTTACAGTTTCTAAATAGTATTAGATTGGGACTTTCAGTTATCTCCAAAAATAACTTATTACCACAAAAAATACATAACAGAAAATAATTACTGGTTAAGACAACACAATAACCCACACTCCAGGGTTGAGTATTACTTGATGAACCATCTAGTATCTTATTGCAACTATAGCAACAAGCTGTAGCTTGTCAACCAAAACAGCTATGAAGAGAACCCATGGTTTATTGTTGTGTTATGAACCATGGTTTGGTTCATCATGGTTTGTCAGTACATAGTTATCATGTTGTCTGAATCCAGTGAATAAGTTCATGTCTCAAAGTAAGAAAACAAGGAAGCAGCAAGACAGAAAAACAAATGAGGAAGCAACATATAATTTTTTTAGGTTTGAAATTGTTGTTATATGAACAACTGTGTAATATGTGAAAAGGTGGAAGCTTCTCAAGTGACCCATACTTAGATATTTGGATCCATACAGGTTTCCAGCCTTGTTTCATAAACAAACATCCTTTAGTAACCTATGTGGGTGATTTGCATGGGATTATGGACAGGGGAAGGGCAAGATTCTGCTTGTGTGTGGAGGGTGGGTACACTGGAAGACTGTCAGAAAAAATACAACTTCTTTAACCCAAAAGATAACAAGTCATACCTATGAGAACTCAGGTGAGAGATGGTGCTTTCTCCAGTAGGAGATGGATTCCAAAGTGCACATTTAGATGGAGGAAAACTGAAGGGGAGCATCTTCCCTCTGAAAGATAAACAATTACTCCTTTTGATTTAGTTAATTAGAAAAGTGTGGGTGATTTGTCGGTCAAGTCATTTAAAAGGCTACAACTCCCACCAAATTTTACTACTGGCTAGGGACAATGTAAGTTGTAGGTCAAAGCATCTGAAGCTCCTCAAGATTCCACCCTGAGTTGAAGACAAACATAGCCTTCTTCAACCTGGTGCTCCAAATGCATTAGACTAAAGCTCCTCTCATGCCCAGATGGAAATTGTAGTTCAACACATCTAGGGGAGCAAAAGGTTGGGAAGCCGATGTTCTATTTTTATATGTATCAAATTCTCTCAAAATTGCAAGACAGAAATGGTGCCCTTTAGTATATAAATATGTTCATCTCTCTAATTTTAATAAAAACAGCAGTTTCTTCACATCTTCCCTGAATAAATGAATACCAAATCATTCATTAGGTTCAACTGATTCCATTACAATGTAGAATGAAATAACCCATAATTTGTGATCGCCACAAATTCTCCTCCAACTCCGAAGTCTTCTGTGCATGCAAAAAGTGATATAAGAGTCAACACTTCTCTCTCCATAGTTAAGGCGAACCACTCTGAAGCAGAACTGGGGATACTCAAGGCAGACCAAGGGGATATGGGAATGCAATCTGCCAATAATGTCTATTCCATGGGTGAGGGAACACTGTTGGATCCAGGCCACTGTTTCCGTGACAGAGTTAACTTGTAACGATCAACAAGGTTTTGCGAGTTAGAGTGTCCATGTGGCTACTGACATACAAATAAAACTTTTAAAAGAACATATAAACTCAAAACATTCAGGGGAAACACTTAGTTCTGTTTGCTGGCTACTGATTCACCAAACCTCTGCAAAGAAACATAAATGCATCTTAAGGCAAAGCTGCTAAGGTATAACTTGTAGTCCAATTCTAGCTCAGCCATACATGTATCTAAGCCTCTTTCTTTCAATGAGTATTGAAACAAATTCTCCATGTATTTGTTTCCAATAGTGAAACAATGTTGTAATTACTGAAACAAATACTTATGTAACTGGAATTTAAATCATACATACTGAAGCTGAACAAAATTTTTATGATACCTTTGATTCTGAAGTACAGAGGAAATAAATTCCATGGGACTGAAAATATAAAATCTTAATGATTCACCCTGCTGAAAATTATAGGAGCAGAAATGGCATAAAAGAAAAAAAATTAAATGCCTCAAACATATCTTGATACTTTAGCATTCTAACATATTAGAGTAAGATATTAAGTATATACCCCTTTAAACCCTAAAATCATTTTAACACTAGTAATTCCTAAACACAACTTTTTAGGTATAGCAAGAATTGCATCATGGCTTACAAATTTAACATAGTGGCAATACTAATCCCTGGAAGTAATTAAAATGCATGCACCAGGAATTAAAGACTAGAATGAATGTTTTTCAAAGGTATGTGTGGAAATTAAACAGCTACCTCTCTGCCCAGAGGGCATATTGCTGCTGTATTCTATCCTTTCTCCCAGATACTCAGAATTACATTTTACTACCATATCAGTATTAAAGTAGATCAGTCTGATGGTCAATGACATCAACAGTGTCACCCATTTAAAGTCAAGTCTTTTAAGTTATGAAACAGTATTCACCAAGAGTCCATTTTTACCACAGAAGAATTTCTACATAAAAAATCAGTAATTGTACATACTCCAAGCAATAGGGGGGCAAATTCCACACACTTGACATTCCCAGTTCTCCTACTCAATGACTACTCATATTTCAATGGCTCAGGATGGGGTTATTGCTGCTTTTATCACCATCACAGATCTGTTACGCTCTGAATTAGTATCAATAAAAGTTATAGCCCATTGGAAGAAAGTCCAAGTGCCCGCAGCCATTACTGCTGCACCTTCATGCATGGCACAAGAACACACACAGGAGACCTCTCCGTTATCCTCAGTCAATAGCAAATGCCCGCTGGGTGACAGATGATGCCTCATGCACTCATTATATTGATACACCACTTCCGACATTATCAACAACCTGCATGAATGTGCCTGGCAAGTCTCAGAGCACAACAGCAACATGCTGTCTTTTGTCTCACTTCCTTCACAGCAGGTTGGCAGAGTCACTTAAAAGGGGATCAGGTCTACATGCTAGCTGGCCATCAGTGACAAGTGGACAACTTGTGGACCTCAAGATACTTTGGTTTACAGCTTTTAGCATTAGCTATGCTACCTAGAAATGATGGAAACAGTGTGAAAACACATCTTGAGAGCCACAGGTTGTCACCTCCAAGCCTTTAAAGAAAGAACCCTACCCGCAACAATAATTTAAAGGTACCCTTAACAATTATTGCAAACTCAGTGTGCATGAGACTAGGATGCTATCTTTTCTGAGTTCATTCACGAGTGATCACCGAGAGCTGCGCATACGATTAGACGGATAATCGTTTCAGCTTTGAGGGGCACAAGAATTTCGGTTGGATACACAGTACTATTTGACCTTTAATTTCCCCGAGCGTTCACCCAGAAATAGAGCAGCTCCCCTTGGCGGGGAAGGCAGGCCATGACGCTTCAAAGGGGCGTGCGGATGGGAACCTCGCTTGTCCAAACCCAGTCTCGGCATCGTAGCCAGTATGACACCACAGCAGCAGGCAGATGCAATGAAAAGGGAAACATCACCAGTTGAACAACTGCCTGTCACACAGTTGTCAAAGGGACGCACAAGGCCTAACAGAAAGAGCTGAGAACTTTAACTCTGTATTTTTAAAGCAAGAAAGCCATTAGACGAGCTTGTGGTAGGAAAAGAAATAAGCGTATATGAACGAACGAGACAGTGGGGACTGAAGAGAACCCCCAGCTCTCCGTGGGGGAAAATTCCCGTCAAAGGCAGCAGCTGCTCACTTACCTCCCCACTCCCTTTTCCATACGTGGGAAAATCCCTCCCGGCGCTCAAAAGCCTGACCGGGCTACAAACAGAATAACCGAATCCTCATTCCCTCCCTGTTGTGGCGGCTCCAATGGCGGCACGATCAGCCAATAAGCAGCCGTTTAGTCGGCAGCGTCATCCAGCCAATCAAAGATCATTCCAAGAATTTTCCCCGCCCACCGCTTCGTTTTAATCGTTTTCATCACGCCAATCAAAGCTGTCTCACCACCCAGCTGTTCGCTGTAACCAATCACATAGCCCCTGGTGAAACAGAGGCCAGCTACGCGCGCGCGGAACTCTTGTGGGAGGGATATTTAAAAACTCGGCTTTGTTTTCAACGGTTGAAGGTAGAGAGTTATTGCGCAGGCGCAGAGGCAAATTGGGGAACGTGCGGAATAGGTGTGGTTTCCTCTGTTGCCACAGTGATACTAATGCTTAGTCTCTAGGGGTGGTCTGAGGTTGTAGACGTGAATGCACTTGGATAGATATATTTAGAATAAGTCTACTACTGTCATGTAGTCAAATTTATAGGCCATCCCTATTTTATGTTTTCTCAGAAATAAGGTCCATTAGGTTCAAGGGGAGCTTCCGATGAGGTATTTCCAAGGGGTTGGTGGCCTTACTATTTAGTATTTAAATGTCTACCCCACCCATTAGCCAGGATGACTTTCTGGACAGCTAATTACTTGGCGGCAAATTATTAGTACTTTCTTTATAGCCACATCTGCCAAGTGTCGATAAAAGCAGCAGTGGTTCATAGTCTATTCTGGAAAAATACATTGTGTTTTAGTGCCAGGATTAAAGCCTCAGTCTATCCTAGGCAAGTCTTACTGAATTCTAGTAGGCTTCCAGCGTTAGCACCCATTTAATTTCGAGAGGCTTTTTTATTACCATGTAAAGGATTGTGCTGCTTTATCTTTTCCCCAGCGAATAACGAACTGGCACCTTTGCATTTTGATTTCAGGTGAGTCCAAATTTCAAGGTTTGACAACCAATTGCAAAAGAACAGAGACCTATAATCCTTCGATGTTTCTTAATTTAAGTATAAAGTGATTCGAGGGTATTGCTGCAAGTACTCTCCCTTATTTCCATGGCACTGCTCCGAGCAAAAACAACCTCCCCACCCTTTTAGTCACGCTTGACTAAAACCAACCCCGCTGCAGACCCTGTTATTCTGGACTGGCTTTCCCATGCGCCCCAGTGAGCACAGCCAATGAGCAGGGCTTATGGGAGTTGTCGTTCGGCCCTCTTAGAGGGCACCGGGCAGCCACGTTTCCAGCGCCAGCGCCGGGCGGGCCGGCCTTGGCGCATAGCTCCGCCCCTTCCCCGCCGCGGCGCCCTCGCCGTCCCTTTTCCCCACCCCCACGAGTGAGAGTGACCGCGGGCGGGAACCCGGAAGCGATTTCCCTTCCAGGTGACACTTCGGCAGCACCTCGACCGGGGCAGTGAGCTGGCACCGGCGGTGAAGCAGCCCGGGGTTTTCCTTTCTTCCTCCTCCTGCCATCTTTTTCCCGGCGTATGTTCTGTCGTTGCCTCTTGGCTACCGCGGTTCGTGTTAGTTCCCTATCTCTTCGGCTCAGCACTGTTGTTGCCGCTCCTTCCTCCTCCTCTTCGCGCCGGCTGATCTTCATGAAGCCGGTGGTTGTATTTGTTCTTGGCGGGCCCGGAGCCGGAAAGGGGACCCAGTGTTCCCTTATAGTGGAGGTAAGGAACAAAAAGGGCATCTCGTCTCTTTTTCCCTTCTCCCCAGCCGCTCAGTAGAACTACGGTTTCTAGCAAGCAGGGAGCTGATGGAAGCACTGGAAGCTTGCTTTAATGAGCACACAAAGAATGCTGGGGGCTGTAGTTTGTCCTGATGTGTTTATGGTTCTTAAACGGTGCAGACAGACTTGGTGTGTGCTAACAGTAGGCGCTTCAGAGGTCAGAACGAACTGCTGTATGGTGAGCAGCAAGCCAATCTCCCAAAGGTACGAGAAAGCCTTGATTTTTCAGCTAAAACAAACAAATAAATAAAAGTGTTAACATTTTAAGGATGCTCCTGGCCAGGGGAGCTATTTCATAGGCAGGAACCCTAACAGAAACAGACCTGTTGAACATCTACATGAAACCGCTGGGAGAGGTCATCAGGAGGTGTGGGCTGCGGAACCATCAGTACGCTGATGATACCCAGCTCTACCTCTCGTTTTCCACCAATCCAGGTGAGGCAGTGGCTGTACTGAACCGGTGCCTGGCCGAGGTAATGGGCTGGATGAGGGCCAAGGGACAAGGTCCGCAGCTTGGGAGTGCTCCTCGACCTGGAGCTTTCACTCAAAGCTCAGGTGACAACAGCGGCGAGGAGCGCTTTCCTCCAGCTTTGGCTGATTCATCAGCTGCGTCCCTACCTGGAGTACGACTGCCTTGCAACAGTGACTCATGCGCTGGTGACTTCCTGTCTTGACTTCTGTAACGCGCTCTACGTGGGGCTACCCCTGAAGACGGTCCGGATATTTCAATTGGTGCAGAATAGAGCTGCAAGGCTGCTGACGGGGACTGGACGTTATGTTCACATGACTCCAGTTCTCCGTCAGCTTCACTGGCTCCCCATTGAAGTCCGGGCCCAATTCAAGGTGTTGGTAATGACCTATAAGGCCCTAAACGGCTTGGGTCCTGGTTACCTGAATGAGCGCTTACATCCATATATGCCCAGTCGCCCCCTGAGATCGGCGGGAGAGGCCCTTCTCCGGGAGCCCCCCGTGAGAGAAATTAGGAGGGGGGCTTTCTCAGCGGGGGTGCCTAAGTTATGGAATGCGCTCCCCAGAGAGGTCCGCCTGGCGCCGTCGTTGTTTGTTTTTCGGCGCCAGGCGAAGACCTTTTTATTTAAGCAACATTTTAAATGTTAATACCACTGAATTTTATCTGGCGCCCCATTCTCCGAAGCCTCGGGGCGGCTCACAACATAGTGGGGATTGACCCCACTATTAGTTTCAGCTGAATTTCTTTCAGTTAGGGCTACATTTCTTTGCACTGAGGGGTCTGGATATAAAAAAAGTGAACTTGAAAAAGTTGATGTTACTTAAATGCATTGAGCAGGGGTTGGACTTGATGGTCTTACAGGCTCCTTCCAACTCTAATATGATTCTATGATATATGCCTCAGTCATTTTAGATTTTCAGATAAAGGCATGCTTGGTTTCAAGACTACAAATGTGTGTTATGGTACGCACACTGTTGTAAATTAAAAATGGTTCTGGTATTGAGAATGTACGCAGCATTTAGTGCGTTTAAAAGGGAGTGGGTAAAATTACATCTATACATCTAATTAGTTTTAATGAAATACTGAACATACCTTTAATCAGTTTAGTTTTGAGTTAACAAAAAAGCTGTTCAGCTGGATCAACAGAAATGCTCCAAAATAGTGTAAGCAAAGCGCACTGTAATGTTAAAAGATGACATAGATGGAATTTACACGACACAGCAAGGTTACTAGCTTGTCAGGCAAAATTTCCATAGCTTGTAAGCAATCACAGCAGAGGATGGCTTGTTGTAGGGTTCAGTAGCCCCTTCCGTACTAGCCATATTATTTGAATGCTACTGCAGCTGAGTGCTCCAGGTGAACACCAATAACTACTATGCGAAAGCTGTTGGAAATACCTGCAGGGTGGATGCCCCAAGCTTCTAACTGATGCCAGCAAAGTGGGTTTACTGCAAGAGGACCAAGTGGGGAAGAAGTTGATCAGGATCTTTGCAAGACCCAGTTAGGGCCATTGGGATCCCAGGCTGAATAGCTGCACCAGATGGGATACAAGCCATCAAGGACTTGCAGTGTCGTAAACCTGTCCATTCAGTCATGAGCAGAGGATATTGCAATAAAATATGGGGAATAAATAATTAACTAACAAGCTGCATTGTATCACTAGCACATATTATTTGTACTAGCACAACATTATGATGAATAGGGTATGTATGAAGAGAGGAAGTGCCTTATAAGGACTTGGGAGGGGTGCTAAAAATACTGTACACATTTACTCCTGCACTGAAAGGTAATAAAATACTTAACCATTTGGTTTTTCATCCTGGAGAGAACAAACGATACACAAAGTAAATTCTGCATTTATTTGAACATGAGGCTTTTCTTGACTTAAAACTTTAGGTTTATAATGACTTTCCCTCCGAGTAGAATGAATTCTGGTAGTGAAGTGTGTATCATGTGGAAAGGCAACAGGGCTTATTGATTTCAGTGGAACACTTTGAACTAATTGGACTGATTGTCTTGGTATAACAAACTAAGTATGAGTTGCTACTGAATTATGACTTGTTAATTTGTGAGTTAACTATGCGCTATGCAGCACAAGCAACACAGAAAGGGAATCCTGTAATTCCAGTTTATGAGTTGTCAGCAAGGACAACCAATACTCAACCTCTACTCTGGGCTGTTGCTAACACATGAACCAAGTCAGGATGCAAGGAACTCTATCTTAAGATTGTTTAAAGGTATAATGTACAAACCAATTAACCTGAGTTATGGGACAGGCTACGTATTTGTATTTCTCCTCATCTCTAAAAGAGAGTGCTTGATGAAGGACTGAGGTTACTGAATCTTCAGTACAGATTTTTTTTAAACTTCAGTTGCAGAAATAAGGACTGTGTGCTTCTGTAGGTAATATTTAGAACGTAAGACTTATCTAAATGCAACATTCCCTACCACTTTGAATTAAACAGGCACCAACCTTTCTGGGTTTTTGGAGCTTACTGAAAACATAGTTTTCAAAAAACCATTTAAAGATAATAATATTTTCTGTATAGAATCCTATTATACCATTTTAATGTCCTACAGTATATACTGTACTGTTTTGTACAATACCTAGAAATTTCTATTAATGTAAGCATGAATATTGTTAAATTTCTTTTAAAGTCTATTGCACGTTTGTGATACACACTCCTAGATTTTTTTGTGAGTAATCTAAGCTGCAAAATTTTAACCTGGATTTAAAAAACAAAAAGCAAGCTGTGCCTATTTTAGGACAATATGTAATATTTTGCTATTATTCTAGCAGAACCTTGTTTTCATTTTTCTGCAAGTGAAACAGAAAAATGTTAAATTGTTTGCATTTTGTTATCTCTTGGCCTAACATCTGTTTTTTGCACTAGCCAAATTTAAACCTCAGAGCAAAAAGGATAATTATACAAATAAGTAGGACACACATGGCATAATCCTCTGCATGTTTACATGGAAGTAAGTCTACTGTGTTCAGTGCAGCCAGTTACAGATAAATGTATACACTTCAACCTAACACTTCTTCCTTGGTTTTTTCCCCATTTGCTGTTGATATAACTGCAACAAGAAGCTAGGTTTGTCTTGGAACAGTTTAGTTCTTTGGAAGCTCAGTGAAGCATTCCTGATTTAGATAATTATTTTAGTCTGATGTCTTTGACTATTTATGGATTTCCTGCTACATGAATCTCTGATGTAATTTCTAATGTAACACAGACCCATTCCCCACATACATATATAATAGTGATAAGATACCTGTGCGCAACAAGTTCCTAGCTTGGTTAGTTTCCATTAGCATCTAGATTGGATTGGACATTTTATGTTCATGTGCTCTTGCTAGGAGGGAAATCTTGTGTGCTTCAAATCCTTTCTGTTCTGTGAAATTATTGAGGACAATGGAAGAGGTTTGGGCTCATAGGATGCTGCAAATTTCCATGAAGGAAAGTTGGAAATGTTTAAGCACTAAGAGATCTTCAGTGAAAAAGTGTATTCAGATAGTAACTCTGAGAGGAAAATGCATTTGAAGATAATTCAATATTATTAAAAGCTTAGTGTATTAAAATAAAAGAAAATATATTATCTAATTGCCTATACAGTATTGATTAAACTTAAGATCTATAAAATTGTGTTTTTCCTTTAGAAATATGGTTACACCCACCTCTCTGCAGGTGACCTCCTTCGGGATGAGAGAAAGAGACCAGGTTCCCAATATGGAGAGCTTATTGAAAATTATATTAAAGATGGGAAGATTGTACCTGTTGAGATAACTATCAGCTTGTTAAAGAGGGTAAGATTAAAATAAATTAAGTGTTTGATTTCATCTTGGAGCATTAGGTTCTTGAATCTTCAAACTTTTTTGATTTATTCTTCTGGTAGAATTCTATTCAGTTTATTTTTTCCCAAATGGCCTAATAACTACAATCCTGCTAAGGCGATATTAAATTATATTTTACATTTCTACCAATAATGTGTTTTTACAGCAGTGACAGATCAAATGATTTTTTAAAATACTGGCAATATTTGAGTATTGCTACAATGACTCAAAAATTGTATGATACATGCATGATTGCCTGCTTGCATATTATTACAAGTAATAATTTCTTAATCTGAGCTTTCTGTTGCCCGTCAGGCTATGGCTGAAACTATGGCAGCCAATGCACAGAAGAATAAATTCTTAATTGATGGATTTCCCAGAAATGAAGACAACCTTCAGGGCTGGAACAAAACAATGGATGGAAAAGCAGATGTGTCCTTTGTTCTCTTTTTTGATTGTGATAATGAGGTAATCTCAATGCCAATTCACATAGAATGTTCACATGTAAGGTGTAAAGAGAGGCAATGAATAATATTTCATTGTTGAGCTTCTGTATTACTGCTGCATATTTGCATACCAGTTGAATGATAATAAGATGAACTGGATATTGTCATCTAGAAAGCATGGGTAATTTTGTCATCTGGTGTTTGCAGCTATCTGTCCAGTTGGAAAAATTTGCCCAAAAGTAAACAGAGGTGTTGATTGTCAGAAGATAGAACTGTACATCAACTAGTATCTAAAACTAATCTGCACTGTTTGAATTTCTATACTGTTCGGGTAAAAATTGTGCTCATAGCAGCCCGATTACACTCCACCCCAGTTCTGTTTTCTCAGACATTCTTTCATTCTCTGCATTTAGAACTGGAGTGGACAACCCCTGGCTTGCAATCCTAATCTGGCTCATGGGATTGTCCAGTCCAGCATGCAGAAGAAAGGGCATTTTCCCTAGGCTCTGCCCCTTGCCCTGAGGAGAGGAATCCACATGTTATTTAGAACCTACCCTTGGGATCCCACTTTAGATAGTGAATCACTTTGTCCCCAAACTTCTGTTGGCATGGCCTGGGTTATCTTAGTCCCAAAGTGGAGCTTTGCTTTGGAGAATTCAAACTTCTTATGCTCTCATGGAACACAAGTGCAGCCAAATGTACAAACAAATGGCTATAATGGTTTGACTTGTGGATAGAATTGGGTACTACTTATAGGCACAGTTAACCCTTCTTATGGAACGAGGTCTGTCTACTGGTGAGCAGAGTTTTTGCTCTGAAAATACCAGAATATCAGGAAAATTTTTGCCCTTCTTGGAGAAGTGCAGGCACAATGGATGATCTTATGCTTACTTCAGAAGCACAGGAGAACAACAAAGGCTCTCCCTGAGGTTGCACTGATCGTCAGAGATGTTTTCTGAGTGTCTTGTGGCTAGCCTGCCCATGTGGTTCTATCCCTTTTCTAAGCTGTGGATAGAACCAGGCACTTAACCTCAACACTTGTGCTGCTTCCTGAGCTCAGTGTTAAATCAAAATATCTTTCCCCTTTCTCTTAAAAAGGGCAGGGTCATGGGAAAAACAAATTTTGGCTAGCTGTTAAAGTCAGCAAGAACTGAAATTAAGTACAGGGAATTGTGTGCAATGTGGTCTTTAAATTTGGGAGGGGGGTTAAAAGTGATTCACTCCCCTCTCCACTGTTTTGTGGGCATATATATATGTCATATACCATAGTGCTGTCTGTATGCAATAACCCTTTTAACTTTGTTTGAAGGTATGTATTAACCGCTGCCTTGAGAGGGGAAAGAGCAGTGGAAGAAGTGATGACAACAGAGAGAGTTTGGAGAAGAGGTATTTACTGGCTGTATGCAAAACTTAACTGTTAGGCTTTCTGATACTTTTCAGTTATGTTACTTTCTTTTATTATTTTTCCCTCTAGAATTCATACGTACCTAGAGTCTACTAAGCCCATAGTAGATCTCTATGAGAAGACAGGCAAAGTTAGGAAAGTAGATGCCTCCAAATCTGTTGATGAGGTAAGTTGCAAAGAGAGGAGGTTTGAATTTTAATTTTCTTTCAAGTTCCATCAACTATGCAAAGACTGCAGGGGCAGGAGACTAATATAGCCTCTCTTCAATTTACTCTCAGTTAAAATGTGCTATTGTTCTCCCTGTATTTCAGGGAAATGCCATTTATTTAAGTTTGTATCCCTTATTAAACAGGAAGCTCTTGACCATCAAGCAACGTATTCCTCTTTGCAGATGAGTAAATCAAAACAATTTAGCAGACTTAAGAGGCCAGTCCTGTAACAAGTTGCACACTTGAGTTTTTAATGCTGCTGCAACTGCTACTGTTTGCATTACTGTAATGTGCTCTCCATGGGGGCTGTCTTTGAAACTTAGCTGACCCAGAATGCTGTAGCCACACTGTTGACCAGGGCCAGTTACACTGAATACAACACCTTTTACCAGCTACCAGTCTGTTTCCAGGCAGAATTGGAAGTGTTGGCTATTGCCTATGAAGCCTTATACAGCTTGGGTCCAAGCCATCTGAAAGACTACCCTCTCCTCGCCTGCCTGGGTCTTAAATCTTTGGGAGAGGCACTTCTTGTCATTCCCACATCTGTGTTTGGTGGCAATGTAAAAAAGAGGGCCTTCTATAGCACTCATTAGAAAAGAGGCTAGCTTTGTCCCCTCTCTGTTGCCCTTCCATTTATTCAAGCAGGCCTTTCATGTGTTAGCAGGACTTTTGGTTTTGATGCTTTCTATACTGTCAATGTTGTGTTTTGAAATTTTTATGTGTATTAGTTCTATTGTTTAAATGAAGTCTATTGAATGCCACCTTGAATGCCACTTTTTTGGTGGAAAGGCCAGAATACAAAATGAATAAATTTAAAGGCATCCAGTGTCCTTAGTGAGAGGTAATCATTTCTCTGCAGCAGATCTCAGCACTGATTATAAAGTGTGGGAGTCATGACAGGGAGTCTACAAGAAAGGCAGAGATATTAGCGCCTGTCCCTCTATTGAATGAAATACGACAATTGCTTATGTAACAGAAATCTCTGCTTGGATTTCAGTAAAGTTCAGGAGAGAACTCACACTAAATCTGATTCCAATGATGGGAACTCTTTGTGGTCCTCATTATAAATTCTGACTCCATACTTCAAACAACAGCGAAATTTACAGCAAAATGACAGCGAAATATCAGAGTTACAATTGATAGGATGAAGGCAAAGGCTTTAGCTTATCTTGGGTGGCGTATATGTGTGTGTATGCAAGAGAATCGCATGCTAATTCACTCTTGTCTTTCTCTCCTCTCCTTCATGGGATGTGTGCCTTTAAAAAAATGTTTAAAGCACCACACGGACATCTATCTGTATCTATGTGTATCTTTTACCTTGCAAATTTTTAAGTCACTTAATTGCTCTGGAAATTGGGCAAGAGTTGTTTTGAGGGCATAGCTGCCAGCAGGCACATAATCCACATGCAACTTCTGTTCCTGATTTGAAAGCAGATGGGCAGAGCTTCCAAAGTTGCAACACCCTTACCTCTAAAAATTTTACTTCTGTCTTCAGCCCTAGTTGGCTTAGGGTGGGCATTGTGCCAGTGTGCCTCTGCATGGTAGAAACTTTGTGCCTTAAGTCCAGTGAAATAGAAGTTTGAAGAAACTACCAGTTGCATCTCTGGTTGACACTCAACTCTATGAGAGTGGGTTTTTTTATTTTAAAGACTGTGTATTATTGATTTTATGTACAAATACTATTCTGTAATGCTTTCTTTGTTCTCCTCTCTATTTCAGGTTTTTGGTGAAGTTGTGACCATCTTTGATAAAGAAGGCTAGTTCCTTACTTGAAGTGTCTTTTCAAACATGCTTGAATCTTGTTTAGGAACTGCTACTGTAGACCATTTTTATAATGGTGATAAAATATGCCTTTAAAATACTTCTGTGTTAAGAACAATTTAAAATGGTTAATTAATTGAAAACATGGTTTAAATTGGTTTAAATATGACTTTTAAGTGACTTGTCAATAAGGTAGATATCTTGAAATTGACTTGAAGCTGGTGAAGAACCCAAATCACAAAATAAAACTAGTAATGACATACTAAACATACCTATTTCCAGAAAACATCTGGCTATATTTTCATTCTTTTTCTTACTGCCAAAAGCCATGATCTTCCTCCTCCTCCTTTTCAAAGAATCCCAAACAGTGAAATTGTAAATATGAATGAGAGGGCTTATTGACTTAAAAAAAATTGGACCAAAAATGGGGAAATTGCATAGGTGGTTTTATTTTTAAAAAATACTGTTTTGAATGAGAGGCAGTTTCAGTAAACAAAGCTTTAAACAGACCATATCTTTTTGCTTTCTCACTTCCTATCTGGTTGCTATAAAGCAGTGACTCTTCTGAGACATGCTAATTATGTTACTTAGAAAAGTTAAAGTTGATTTAACATTTGGATATCCTCCTCACACCTTCTCCACACATTTTTGAGGCCTGTGACAAAGGGGCCATTCAGTATATTGCCTGTAAAATGCCTGTGAATGGGGAGAGGGTCTGTTTCTCCTTTCTAAAAGAAAATGGGCAGCTTCAGTATCTGAGGGTCACATAGATTATAGTTTATGACTAGGGGATTGCATCCAACCTAGGTTAGTAGGACTTAGGTTTAATAGAAATCAGTGTGAAAAGTAAGTCATAGCTAATTTAAGTTGTGTTGATCTCAGTGGGATCCAAGTGCAATAAACCTTCGGTGAATCCAAACTGGTGTGTTTAGGGCTGATGTTTCTGATTACAGAGGTGCCATTTATTTGCATGTGCCTATCTCTTTACAAGTCATATGGGCATTGAAAATTTGTGGCACATAAAAGGTTAAGATGGTTGAATTTTGGAATCTGATGTTTAAGAGCAGCTGGGACATCAACATACTATTGTTACATATCTCTAGCTGCATTTTAAAATATTCTATTAGATGTTTTGTAACAACATTGCTTATTTATTCAGTGACTTAAAGTGTATTTGTTCTAGATAGTATGATTGTTTCGTCTCCTAAAACTGTGCAGCTTGAACAACACTTTGACACAATTATACTTTTGATATGATTTGACCAATATAAAAGGAACTTTCTTTATATCTCAGTTAAGCATGCTGTTTTAATTGTCTAAACTGAATGTTGTGCTGCTGGTGGAAAAAAGTTCTCCAAAAATGGGTAGTCAGAAGGCAAAATAAAGCAAAATGTTTGCATGGTTGTGCAGCCAAAATGCAACACTGGTTAGGGTTATGGGTTGCATCCTCAGTGCTCATAAGCCTCTAAACTTGGAGGCTTAGAAGTATCCTGTGCAGAGTGAGAGAAGTGGCGGAGGCAAACTTCACCTCCCCAATACTCCCGCTCTGTGAGCCAGCCAGTTTCTGCCATCTAGCTGTGGCACTTCAGACAGGGAAGGAGACTAGCCCCAGTCTCCTTTCAGAATGCTTCTCTTTAGCCCTTCCCTGAAATTAGAGAAGCAGCTAGTGAAGTTCTTTCCACCCTGGTTGCAAAGTTGGGAAGGGAGATCTGTGCATGGATCCCCAGCTCCAGTGCTGGAGTCTTGGATCTGGGAATCTGAAGAATCCTGTGGCCCTCCAGACACTGTCTAGGGGCCATAGCACTGCTCTGTTAATTAGATATGTGTCCTATTACTATCTTTTCTGTTTAAAATGTTCCCTTTCAGTATCTGGAAAAAACGGTTATTTTTCAGTATCAGCTGCCATTTGAACTGACTTTTGTTTACAATTGTGGGTTATTTTTCTTGGTCATGTATATCTTGCACAGCATAATAGCATTTAGTGATTCATTTTGTCTTTTAATTAAAATACAATGAAGGGTCTATAATTGATTTCAAACAGCTACATCTTTGTTTTCTGTGCTTTGATTTTTCTAGAAGTAGAAAGACCGTGTGGAAATGTGATATGAGGAATGAGAACTTTATGCATAAAAGTGTTACTGAGAACGTCATAGAATTTGAAAATAAATAAATTTTAATCAACTTTCCTCTGAGTGTACACATGCCACCAAATAGTCTTATTTTTCAGAAATGTGTCTTACTTTTTTAAGGCTTCAGGGAAACCTTGATCTGTTAGTCTGTCATGGCAACTCATACATCTCCCATAGCACAGGATTCCATGGAACATTCTTCTGTGTGCACTTAACTCATGGGGGATTGGGAAGGTCTGTTTTTGTGTAGCTGTTGCTCCATGCAAAAGGGGTACACTCCATCATACACACTGCAGACATGCAAGCTCTCCTTGTTCAGCATTGGACCCATAGTAAGTATCCATGGAACTCCAGGTGTTTTCATGTTAAAACTAGTGTTTTAAATGAATGACATACTTGAAAAACCACCGTTCTCCCTTCTTGCTGTGTTGGCCAGTCTTTGCATTATGTTTATGCTTTAAGACTTTGTTATGGTTTGAAATAGTTTATTTGGGAGACGGGCTCCTTTCTGGACTTGCTGAGGGTTTATGAGCATTGCGTAGAAAGGGATGAACTTAGTACCTATAATTATCCCATTTCCTTACGCTTCGTTGACTCAGTGGTCTTTACCAAATATACTCTTCTTTTCCCTGGTGGAGAAGTGGCTCAGCTATTCTGGGAAGATGATTTCTCACTATCAACTATTGTTGAAGATTGTTTTTTTTTCTATTGTTTTTTCATAGAGAATGGCACTCAGATTTTCACAGGGTCTAGATCACAAACACCTCACATACAGTCTCAGTTGGCTGAGAAAACTACAAAACCTTAGCTTTTTTCTGAAACCTTTTGTTTCCCGCCCACTTTGATAGGAATAGCAAAAGCATCTACCTTTTACTAAGAAGTGCATGTGTAAAATGTTTATTAGTACATTTATTTATATAGTATATTTGTATATTGCTACAAGTCAGTTATTTTCTGTCTCACCATGAGTTTCACTTCAAAACTGACAAGAGATTAAGATCATGGTGTTGAGAGGAAAACATGGCTAGAATCAGGGGGAAAAGATGTTCAAGGATATTGAGGGGAAACAAGAAAACCAGACTTCTTGCTGTGGAAAGGCAACCCTTGCTTGTTTATCTAAGGCGAGAATGCAGTTTTTACATTAAACATGTAATGAAATCTAATGCCCTTTCTTGGATGTTAAGGCTATTAGCCTAATTGTATATCTTTTTGCTATGTACCTGACTTGAAAAAACTAAAAGAAGGCAGACCAATTATATTAAAAATAACATGCTGTCAGTGTGGAATCTGGGTTAATTGTGTTGTTTGAACAACTGGGATCAAATATTTTTGTCAGTCTCTTTATTGATGCCATTGACACCATATTTTTCCCAAGCTGGCTTTTTAATTTCATTCCATTTTTAGCAGGCAGTAGTCCAGTGTATAACTCCAGACAGCATTCAATTATCAAATGGTTTCTCAAAACTTTCTAAAATGTTCACAAATAAATTTCATGCCACAAGAACTTGCTGGTGTATTTTTTCCCCTTAAGCTTTGCCATGTAAAATGATGTTGCAAGGATATTGTTCATGAGTGTATGAATCAAACAGTTCTAAACTAAAAAGGTAATTTGTCTTCATTTGTATGCAGAAGTGGGAAGTGACAAACTCCTAGTCATGAAATAGTGAGGACAGACATCTTGTAGCCATCACTGTCAGGTTTGGCTGGAATCCAGTTAGTATTGCTTCACCAACAGAAGATTTCCATGAGCAGAACAGAACGTGGGCAATTCCTTCTCCCCCTTGGCATTGCTGTAACCCTTCTGAGCATATTGGAGAAGAATTACTCTTTCCCTTTCTGCTGACAGAAGCCTTCCATTAGCAGGGGGAGGATAGTCAGAATTCCCCCTTTGTCTTTGAGTGCTACATTATAGTATGATACTCTTGTTTCAAAACACAGTTTAAAACTACAAACTGTTATTCTAGTGAAGCTTGTATGAAATTCTCATTTTAGCTTGCTGCACTTAGTAAGATATATGCAGTATAACTTTTCTAATAAAACAAGGTTCCCTAATACAGTTTCACTTGCCTGAAGTGTTTCCGTAAACCTGTAAACTCAGTTCTTGTCAGTCCCTGGAGATGGAATTTGCAATAATGTTCAATTTTAAAATGCTGCATTATTTGTTCCTACGAAAGTGGTGAAACTGTCAAGGCTTCAGACTGCAGGTGAAGGTGCCATATAAACACCCTTCTGCTTTTAATTCTTTATATAGCAAATAAGCACATCAGTGAATAGTTAGATTACACCTCTTCTGTGTGATAAGAAACCTTTTGTTCTGGTCTGTTTGGCTTGCTGTTTTTTAAATATGGAGGAGGATTCAATCACATGGAGCTTCCATTAGCTGTCTCAAGTGGTATAACCCAGACACAAGTTCATTGCTTCAGTGAGCACAAGGGCTTGGAGTACCAGATGTAAGTGACAATTTCTTAAGTAAATAATAGATCCCTACAGTGGGTGCTCTTTCCTTGGCTTTAATCTAGAAGTAAGATCTGATTAAAAACGATTCAGTAGTGTGTGAGTAATCTCTACCAATTCTAGTTTAAAACAGTAATTTAAACTCATTTTAAAAATCTTGCATAAGGAGAGCAGAAGAACAATTGTTCTATCTGGACTTGATAGGAATCTGTATATCCAGAGTCATTCCTACTTGACTACAGATAAGATAAAAATACTTTACTGCAAATCAGCGCTGCTTGCCGGCTTGCTGTGGGCTCTCTAGAGAGATCCTCTGAAGCCGCTTATCCTTTCTGCAATTGCTCCAGTATACCACATGAGGGAGTGCTTGGCTTGTATAAAATGGCAAGAGTTTGCAAGTGAGATGGTAGTTTTATTTTTGCTTTTACTGTTCTGCCCTTTACTGGTAAAAATGCTTTAGTGTTCTTTATCCTAAAGAAATAATATGTTGTAAATCTGGTGAATTTCCTGAGTCTGGAGCAGTCTTTATAGTTTGGCGATCTTTTCAAAAAGCCTGTGGGCATTGCAGGATGATTCTAGGTAAGAACCAGAAAACCTATGTGACAGAAGGTGATACTTTAAGTGTCTAGAACTTATAGACACTTCAGACTGCAGCTTGAAAAAAATTGATAATATTTGGGGTTGTATGTGGCAGCAGGCAAGGGCAAATACAGTGCTACATAGCCTTCTAATGGTCTGATTAATCATAAGAGAGCTGGCATAGAACAGTGTCAAAGATACTGGGCCTCAAAGTTAGGTCCCTTGCTTGAACTGGGCCTCTGCTATGAACCTACATTATTCTGAAGGAAGCTAGTGCAGCCCATCAGCAGTACAGAAGCAATATTGGCCTGCCTTGCAAAGTCGTTGCAAAAATACAATAAGGCAGTACAATAAGATACTCCGAAGTCTCTGCTAAACACTTATTATTATAACAATGGAAACAGCTTAGCATGCACTAGCCATCTTTAACCTGCCACCTGTCAGAGGTGTTGGGCTGCAGCTCCCATCCGTCCGAGCCAACATTGCCAAGTGGGGAAAGACTCCAGTGAGCTGGTGAGCACTGAGACTCATCTACACTACAGATTTAAACTAGTTGAATATTACCTTCGTTTTTCTGGGGAGTTTTGGGGAGTGTAGTTTTGTGAGGGATCAAAAAACAATTCTCAGCATGCTCATCGACTCAGGCTTCTAAGCAGTAAGAGTTGAACTGGTATAAAACAATAGCATCATTTTGTTTTTGTGGGCCACAAACCAGGGAATCAGTTCTTGGGTTGCCTGAACAGGGAAAAGGGTACAGAAGCAGAATTTGTCTGATATGCAGTAGAATACTAAAGAGCTCCGTGGGCAGACAAAAATAAGGGGTTGACGAGAGTTGTCCAATGGCACGCTGAGCTGCCTAACTTGGTGGTGGTGGGGGAGAATTCCAGAACTGCATCCTGAGAGAATGATGATGCCCTGCAAGATGCTTGCACAAACAGAACTTGTTACGGCAGTGGATATTCAATATACTTGGAAAGGGCAATATTTGTAGCTCATTAGAACATGAAGTAATGATGGAACTGGAAAGAGCCCTGAGGACAAGCCTCCCACAATAGTGAGATTCTCCGATTTGTTCAGTCTGTTTAACGTGTTTGAACAGAAGTCCCAGTGCTACCCCTGCTCCCTGCCTCCATACAAATGCACAATTCATTCATCCACATAAAGCCTTTCCAGATACTTGCTTTGGGCCATTATTGTTAACAGCATTATAACTTGGAAATAACTTTATAAAGGGATGGATAGAATTCCAGTCTGAGTTACTGAGCTGTTGCCTTTCCCAAATGCTTCCCTCCATTCCCAACCATTAATAATGCTTTGCATCACTTTGAGAATATGCTTAGACTTGTTTAGAGAGTATCTGAAGGAAAAAGCAATTCCACATCTCTGGGGGAGTCACATACATGGCAAGGGTGTGAGAAGATAGCAGATGTTCATTAAATGAGACAAAGGCTTGTCAATACATACATACATACATATATATATATAACCAGCAGCTGACCTTTCATCCTCTGGACTATAATAATTACTCTATTACCATTTTTGTGATGTCTGTAATGGCAATAACTTATTCAGAATTCACTTCTTACATTGAAGATAATTTTGCTTGGTTACCAGTGCAGCTGTATATGGAAACCCATACAACTGTTCTTTACTTCTCAGATTAGAGGTGAGCAACTTGTGTCTCCCTCTACTGCTTATGACTAGCTATATGTTGGCTAGGCTAGGCTAGGCTAGGCTAATGAGAGTAGTAGGTTGCAACATTTGGAATCTACAATTTGTCCACTCTTGTCTAGATGCATTCCTAATTAGACAGCTAATGCAGCCAGCATCGATCTGGCAGGTGTTTCTTCACCGCAGAAGAAACTTGTTTTGCCAGAGGAAAGGTAGTATCCTGTTAAAGCACTCACTTTAGTATTCCTCACAACAAATGGGTGTTACAAAGTCAAGAGAAAAGCACTCTGATCACTGCTTAAGGACCAAGGACTGCTAGGTAGTTGCACCACTCTGGGGCCTACAAGA